AACATGCAGATGAGGTCTGTGTTGGTGGTCAGACCCAAAAAGGATGAAAAAAAGCACATACAGTTAGTCACAGATAAAGCTGAGCTCAAAGCTATATGTAGGAACCAAGCCAGCTGAAGCTACAATAATGACAAAATAGCACAGATAACATAAAGTTTGAAAGAGAAAAATGTAGAACAGATGTATGTTGTAGCACAGTGAGATAAAGTGGACCTTATGTCCTCCAGCAGCCTCAGCGTTTAGCAGCATATCTATGTATGATTTTAATCTCTGACTGCCATGTGGGAGACCTGGGTCTGAATCTTGGTTGCAACAGGAATGACCTCCAGCAAGAAAAGTGTAACAAATAAGTGATAATCACTTCCTGTGGAAAAATAAGAGAAAAGCCAAAAGGAGACAGGCAAGATTATCACCTTGTGAAGGGAAATTAGTTAAATCGCTGCCATCTGCAAAGTGAAACCAGTTATAGTTGCCATCTTGGTTTATCTTAAATTGATATTTATGGGTATCTAGGGGCCAGATACAAAAGCTTCCCTCTGGGGGTCGAGTGGAGTCCATGCCTCAAAGACTCAAAATGGGAGACAACCCACGATAAAGCAGGTGTGCATAGTTTCAGTTTATTCTTTTTTGTTCAATACATGAAAATGTCTTCTCTAGTTCTCCTTTTTTTCTTCTGAGTAATGTACTGAAACCTGTTGGGGATTCCCTTAATGTAGTGTAACTAAAAAGATTAGGTGCTTTTTTCTTTCTGACCTTCTCCTTGATTTCCTGTAAAGTGCACCTATTACTATTCATATATAAATTGTGTTTTTAACAAAATAAAATCAGCTCAGTATTGTAATCATCTGTGAGAACTTGTGATATCTTGTTGAAGATGAATGTGGCTAAAGGCTGCTGACTTCAGTACTCGTGTTTTTTGGGAAATGGTCTCATTTACACAAAACTGTGGAAGGGAAACTTTACCACAAAATCCCCCATTATGGGAAATACTTCCCTGAAGAAATGTGTCCAACAAAAGAGAAAGATTGTGAAATCCATTTTGAGGAACTTGAAAACACATGTAGTGAATATATTACTTGGAGCTGCCTATTTAGTTGGCAGGCCAGACAGGGTTGGGGGTGAGTTCATACTTTTTTATAAGCTTGAAGAACAAATAAACAAAATATCACAATTAGATAAATTGTGTAGGAAAATCTAAGACAAGTATCCTCCTTATTCAACTCTTCTGCTAAGAGAGGTGATGACCTGAAATTTTGAAACCGTCTTGACCCCAGGTTTTCTTTCTTCTCTCCATTGGTGCATTCTCGGCAGGCGCTTCCAAGGAACGATTAATTTTTCATCCATACTCCCTCTGGGAGGCAAAAGGAATTTCGGAGCACGATGTGATGGGAGTATCCCTCCCACATGTGGACATCGTTTAAATGTTTAAGAGTGTGTTTCTCTCTAAGAGCAATCTGTCTCCATTTGTTAACTGCTGTTCCAGCAAAGCAAGTGTTTATTTAAACCTGTGGGATAAATGATTCAAATGATTGGTCAGAAGTTCATTTTTAATTCTCATGTTTGTGTTTAGGCTGCTTCTGGTTTGGTTGCCATGAACAGAGTTCATTTACCTTTAGTTCTATTTGATTCCTTTCAATTATTTTCTTTATGTAGTTCAACATGAGATGTTTTTCATGAATCCCTGCTGAACTTGTCACGTTAGGAAAGTATTTTGCTGTATTTTACTTCCTCTTCTCTACGAAAAATAAAGGAAAGCCCCTGTGCCATGGAGAAAGAAACACATATCTTCTCCCTCAGAGCAGCTGGAAGTGACCTCTTGGAAAAAAAAACAGAGTCTTATCTCCCTAAACAGGACCCTAACAGGGGAGAACGGAGTCCTCCACACACACTGAGTCATGAAAGTCCGGTATTAAGCAACACCCTATTTTTTTTATATTTTCGCATTCTTTTTGTTAAGATGGCTGATTTGATTTAATGTTTTCACTGTCTTGGGGTCAGAAACCAAGGGAACAGAGGATAAACTTCACATAAATGCCCTGCCCTACTAATTAAACAGTGACACCTCCTACCCCCTATTTCAACACTGATATTTATTTATATTCCTAAGACTTGCTAATCTAAGGTAAACCTGCAACACATGAGTCACTTTCAAAGGAATTTTTAACACCATTAACTTTATCAAACAAACACTAATGTATGAATAAATTGAGTCACATTCCTCACTAAGTGGTTGCTAAGCTGCAAAAAGCATTAAACAGAGTGACAGAATCAATCATTAGAATCTCATTTATCTCATTTTATCAAGTTTTCTTGATCTGAAGATGTCCAAAAATGATTAACCCAATATTGAAGAGTATGTGATATACCCTCATGGTTATTTGGTCTTTTAACACCTAATAAAAGAGCTCTGAATATCCTTTGCACAAAAGTGGCCTTGTTCTACCAGGTTGAACTCCACCTGGCCATGTTGTTTAGAAACAGGATCTTTTTCCTAAAGAGTTGAAATAATTCTTTAGGAACAAGATCTGTTTCCATTGTATCACTGGTTTTTCAAACAACAATATCCTTCTATTTCTTCACTGGGAATCAGAAGACCATCCAACTTGAGTGATGGAGTACATATATATATATATATATATATATATATATATATATATATATATATATATATATATATATATATATATATATATATATATATACAAATAATTATTAGCAAAAAATAAAATAAAATCACCACTCTCCCTCTTTTTTAATCATAATTGCATTTAGACAGTTTCAGTGTTGGTGACGATCTTAACAGGAAGATAGGCCCTATTTTACATTCTGCTTAGAGTTCTGTGCCACATACCGACAAGCTGTGTACTGATATAAAAGTTTCAAATCCACTTTCAAATACGTCACCTTGCTAACGTCCTCTAACAGTGGGCTGTGCTGCAGGCCAACTTTGAGAAAACGTCCTTTTTGTAGAGCTGAGTTTTGTTTACTTCTGTTCTACAGCTGAAGATATTCATATCTTTTTAGATTTATTTGGATTTGATAAGTGTTAAATTTTTTCACTAAGTAGATCTGTATCTGTCTTGTCTCCCTGTCTATGTAATTTAGTTTTCATTTTATATCAGCTCCTCATCCTGTGCATGTTCCCACATCACTGACAACTTTCTTATTTAATCTTTCATTTTCTTTCACTCCACACAGGATCCTACTGGTGTCAGCCTCCAAATATCTAGTTCTTGTTCTTTCTTGTTTTGTTTGGTCTTTGAATTTCTTAAAAAAAAAAAAAAAAGGTTATTTTTTGGAAGAGATAAAATTCAGATGTATGAACAACCTTCTGATTGCTCTTAAGATCCAGCAAGTTAAAGTTAAAGCTTTGTTGAAATATGTTTTTGTAAAATGGGCTCTAATATAATTTTTTGAAGGTGGTTAATCTAAAACATCTTGGATAAAAGATGTGTGGTAAGGATGCAGTCCTATGACTTATGCGAAAGAGAAACAGTACAGTAAAGCAAAAGTGAAATGAGAGAGAGAAAGAACTTTCATTCCCTTGCCTCTTCTTGTACCTACAGGAAAATCTGCATCTTGATTCATAAGTGAAGAACTACATTTTTATGTTATGAAAGAAAAACTGTAACACTATGCCAAAAAACACAATAGACTAAAAGAAGTTAATTCAAAAATTCTAATGGAAAATTCAGATAGTAATTTTTTGAAGATAAACAAAATTCACTTTTCAGCATATTTCTTCCCACAACACCGCAATGTTTCTCAATAACTAATTAGATTTTTTTCACTTACTGACAAACACAGAAGCTTGCAAACATTTTTTCAGTATTTTGCAGAATTGCTTTTAAACTGTATGACCTCCACAGTAAATCCCACAGTGTTGAATATGTAGTGTGTAAGTACATTGACTCTGTTAGAGTTATTACTACAACAACTGGACTAAAATATACATTACATAGATTTCTAATTTAACACTAATTCTGAGTTGGACAAAATGCACGCCTAAAGTGTTACTTTAATACTGCAATATTTACTGTGTGGGTAAAATAATGTGGTGTTCTGTTTGATAGAACTTTGGCCCATCCTGACACACCTGCTGCAGCCAACTAGAGGTTTGTAAAACACACCTTTTCAGCTGAGATCATATTCTTTAGAACATTAACCTTTATATGCTTCATACACAATTTCACCATTTTGGCCTTATCATACAGAAAATGGTGATTTAGCCAATTTTAGCCAGGTTTTAACCCTCCATGTGTTTAAGATGTTTAATATTTTCGCAAAATGTTTTTTTCTTCTTCATGTGTTTAGCTTTTGCAGAGTGTCTCCATAAAGTTAAAAAAGTAAAAAAACAAACCAGCCTCTGCAAAGGGGAGCCATTAGGATCATTGTCCAGTATCATTGGCCTGTATCGGGTCTTACAGGCCAACAACAACCTCAACGACTCCCCATTAATAAGGGATGGAACAGTTTTTTTCGTTTCAGTTTGTGACCTGTCATAGAGAGGATCTTTGCTCCTGGTTGGCCTGAGAACGTTTCTCAATCCAGATGACTAGCATGTATGTAAGGAGGCAAAGGATCATCTCTCTTTGCTGGATGATTACCCTTGATGGTATTCCAGCAAAAAACCTAAACCAGGAATTTCCTTCTTGTGGAAATTTGTCTTCTTGTGAATCTTGTGGATGTCCTGGAAAGGACCAACCAGAACGTTCAACTTACTTTCTGCAGCTACCCGCTTCCAGATACTTGTTGCTTTTTGTTAATAAAGCATTAAAATTCCCTGGTTCTCCGTGTGTTTCTGCATTTGGGTCAAAAAACTACAAACCAATATGACAATTGTCTGATTTTAACTGCATGTTCTGCATTAATGATCACTCATGCATGGGGGTGTTTTCCTTTTCCTTGTTGTTCTTTTTTTTTTTTTTTTTTTTTTTTTTTTTTTTTTTGCAGATACAAAGGCATCATTGAGCCTTTTCCAAACACAATAACCCATTTCGTCAAATCCCAGTGCTCTGTTGCTGAACACTAACAATTGCAGAAACATGGAGTTTCTTTATTCTTACATGCGTCTTTTTCTTTTTATGGCTCTGAAGACACCCGTTGCACATTCGGCACCTGATTTCTCTCGTAAGTTCCTCCTTTTTTTTTATGTGTGAGAGAAAATTGCTGATACGTGATTTTCCAATTGTATTGGCTTCCACAACAGGAAGCTCCGGAAAGATATTTCCTAATAACACACACATCCTTTTTTCGAAGCAGCAGCTTATTCTGCAGTTGAGATACGAAAATGAGGGAGGACAAGTCTGCAGAAAACGTTAGAGAATACAACCAAATATTTAGCATTGAGGTTTGTTTTTTTTTTGGGTGCAGTAAAACATATGTTTTTTTTGGTTCTAGTATTGATATTGTAAAACAACTGTTTTGAACTTAATGTATTTGATAATAGTTGATAATTTTGTCTGGTTTCAGGCTAATAATAGCTCTTTGTGAATAAGTGCCTGGTACAGCCTGAGATCTGCAAACAGAAAGGACACAATGCCTTTTATAAGGCTTTCATATTTCTTACCGTTTCTACATTTTGTTATACTGCAACCTTAAAATTAAGTTATATTTTAATAAGGTATTATAATGTAGATTTGCAAAAACAGAATATATATGGAAGGAAAATGACACAAAAATAAAACTTTAAAAATGTGAACTGTATTTGTATTCAACCCTTAAACCATTAAATACAATCAAGTGGATCAAACTGCCTTCCACCTGTTCATGAGGGGTCTCACACATTTGCAAAATGATTGCCATTTTTTTTTTAATTTCATGTCTTCTTCTTATTATTAGAAAAATCCTTTTAATAATGTATAAATAGATAAACTTCAGAGGAAATAAAAATATTGATAAAGGTATGGTATGTGCACATGAACGAACAGACATTAATTTTATACGTAAAAAGAAGAAAAAAGATAAGTTGTGATAGGGCAAATATCTTTAATTTTGCTTAAAAGCAGAATAGCTGACTAATCTGTATCTGTGGCCACTGGAAAGTCAATTCTTTTGTATCCAGAATGTGTGAGTTCAGCAGAGATGCTCCAAGACCTGTACAAGTCCTTTTTGAAAGAAATGTTAACTTTGATAATCTTCTCTGCAGATCTTATTGTTTGTTGCAGTTTAGACCTGTCCTGTTTTATGCACTAGCCAAACCCTACATGTAGAAGGTGAGCAGCAGTTCTTGTGGAGGGTTGTATTTCTAGAGTGACAGCAGGTAGGACAGTCTCTGCTGAGCCTTCTTCTGAACACTGGCTGTGTGCGACCAGCTCAGGTCCTGAGAAAGGTTTGCTCCTAGGAGGTGGAGGTGATCCACAGTAGAACCAGTCTTGTTAAATGTGGTGAGGGGAGGCAGTATGAGGGAAGTTCTCTAGAAGTCCATCTTTATTTCCTCAGTCTTTAATGGGTATAGATCCAAATGGTTCTGAGTGCACCAGTAGACCAGCTGATACTATCTGTCATCAGGCAGACTAAACACTCCCCTGGAGGAGATTAGGGAACTTCAGGAGTTTCAAAGACAGGTCCACGAAGGAATGAGGTGCAGTTATTTGAGTACAGAGAGAATTGAAGCGTGGAGAGGACACACCCATGGGTAGTGACCCATATTCTTCCAATTTTCAATCATTTGCTACTTTGTGTTATCCTATCACATAAAATCTCTATAAAACACAGAGGTTTGTCGTGACACTGTAACAAATGTGAACAACTCTAGTGAGGCGACACCCGTGTCCTCTAGAAGTGATTCATTGTTCACTAAATCTGGACCACAGTCCTGGAGTTTTTCTGCTCTAGTAAAGGTGGATCCCTTATGAGAACATCAGACAAACTGTACACTCACAAGAGACGGGGGGACTGTGCAGGAAATACAAATGGGAGTGGAGTCTTAGCTTGGTGTCTTTGTGTTGCTGTAAAACATGATTGTCTGTGTGGTCATAGTCCAAACATTGTCTTGGAAAGCTACACCCAGAGACGGAGACCCAGGGACACCACCCTGTCCACAAGCGGAAGTAGGAATGACTCATATGTAGTCTAAAATAAAATAAAAGGAAAACCTTATTTTATTTCAAGTGTATAAACCATTTTTTTTTTACGCAACATTAGTTGATTGAAATCTATAATAAATACATTATCTAAGTACAAACGCATGCAAAGTTAGTCCCATACATGCCTTACAGATAACTAGCTGGTTAAAGGGACCTTTTCATTTCTAAAAAATATGTATTACACTTATTCTTAGGTGGAAAGATTGGAAAGAAGATGTTATCCCATCATATGTGGCTTTCAGTGTATCTCCACAGTATTCTAAAGAACCACACGGCCCACGCTTGTGACGGAGACCTGCTCGTCATCAAGTGTCCTGCCAGGACATCTGTAGCTGTCCTATCAGCCTTCTACGGAAGACGTGTTCCTTATAAACACTTATGTCCTGCAGCAAGCATAAACGACACAGTGGAGGAGGACACAGATTGCACTTCTTCAACTGCTTTAGAGGTAAATGAGACTACAGTAAATCGTTTAATCATGTGGAATAAGGCCGTCAACAGATGTTTTCTGGCTGTTGCAGAAGGTGCTATCAGAGTGTCAAGATGAGCGGACCTGTCACCTACCCGTCCTCGCTCAAGTGTTTGGACCAGATCCCTGTCCTCTCACCACCAAGTACCTCTTGGTGTCCTACAAGTGCAGACCAGGTACTTCAATTAGCATAAAGGTTTAAAACGAACTGGTAAGCATATGCTTTCTTTATTTGATTCATCCCTATATATATATATATATATATATATATATATATATATATATATATATATATATATATATATATATATATATATATATATATACACTATATTGCCAAAAGTATTTGCTCACCTGCCTTGACTCACATATGAGCTTAAGTGACATCCCGTTCCTAATCCATAGGGTTCAATATGACGTCGGTCCACCCTTTGCAGCTAGAACAGCTTCAACTCTTCTGGGAAGGCTGTCCACAAGGTTTAGGAGTGTGTTTATGGGAATTTTTGACCATTCTTCCAGAAGCGCATTTGTGAGGTCGCACACTGATGTTGGACGAGAAGGCCTGGCTCTCAGTCTCCGCTCTAATTCATCCCAAAGGTGTTCTATCGGGTTGAGGTCAGGACTCTGTGCAGGCCAGTCAAGTTCATCCACACCAGACTCTGTCATCCATGTCTTTATGGACCTTGCTTTGTGCACTGGTGCACAGTCATGTTGGAAGAGGAAGGGGCCAGCTCCAAACTGTTCCCACAAAGTTGGGAGCATGGAATTGTCCAAAATGTCTTGGTATGCTGAAGCATTCAGAGTTCCTTTCACTGGAACTAAGGGGCCAAGCCCAGCTCCTGAAAAACAACCCCACACCATAATCCCCCCTCCACCAAACTTTACACTTGGCACAATGCAGTCAGACAAGTACCGTTCTCCTGGCAACCGCCAAACCCAGACCCGTCCATCAGATTGCCAGATGGAGAAGCGCGATTCGTCACTCCAGAGAACGCGTCTCCACTGCTCTAGAGTCCAGTGGCGGCGTGCTTTACACCACCGCATCCGACGCTTTGCATTGCACTTGGTGATGTATGGCTTGGATGCAGCTGCTCGACCATGGAAACCCATTCCATGAAGCTCTCTGCGCACTGTTCTTGAGCTAATCTGAAGGCCACATGAAGTTTGGAGGTCTGTAGTGATTGACTCTGCAGAAAGTTGGCGACCTCTTCGCACTATGCGCGTCAGCATCCGCTGACCCCGCTCCGTCAGTTTACGTGGCCTACCACTTCGTGGCTGAGTTGCTGTCGTTCCCAAACACTTCCATTTTCTTATAATACAGCTGACAGTTGATTGTGGAATATTTATGAGCGAGGAAATTTCACGACTGGATTTGTTGCACAGGTGGCATCCTATCACAGTTCCACGCTGGAATTCACTGAGCTCCTGAGAGCGACCCATTCTTTCACAAATGTTTGTAAAAACAGTCTGCATGCCTAGGTGCTTGAATTTATACACCTGTGGCCATGGAAGTGATTGGAACACCTGATTCCAATAATTTGGATGGGTGAGCAAATACTTTTGGCAATATAGTGTATATATATATATATATATATATATATATATATATATATATATATATATATATATATATATATATATATATATATATATATATATATATATATATATATATATATATATATACGTATATACTTGAGTTATACACATTTATATGGGGATTTGCTAGCCGCTTACAGAGGTTTTAATTATAATCAAATTAAACAAATTTGAATAATTATTTGTGCATAATTCTGAGTAAAGTAATAAATCTAAATATAAGCTACAAATCAAGAGGCCTTCCAAATTTGAACACTTGAAGTTAATCACCAAAGATGAATGACAAAAAACTGTTCTGGTTGAATGAAAATGTTTGAGATCTAAATCTGCCAGAATTGTGAATCATTCTGTATGGTATCTGGGTATGAACTCATAATGAGAATATGTTGGGTCATTACATATTTTGATGAAAGTTTTGATGTATGTTTTCCGTTTTACAATTCTGTTTTTTTTTTTCACATCAGAAAAATCCTGATACTTTAGTAGAGATGTGCAGAAGTCACTAAATGTACACTTCTGAAATAATTGGCAAAGGTCCAAATTTACTTATTTAAACTCTTAACACTATAGCTGACTTTTGTTGTTGTTTTTGTTGAATATTTCTATATTTTTTTTAGCTTTTATATTATTAATAACACAATATTGTCTTATTGTTCTTACTCCAAAAATAATCCCTTCTTTGAGGTTAATGAAAATCTTTATGAGTATACTCATTACATTTAGATTAAAAATATTGATAATGCTACTAGAATAGAATAGAATAGAATAAAAAAAATCCCTCTCTTGTACCACAATATGTAAATTGTAGTGTTTACAGCAGCAAAGGTTGTAGTAGAAGTGGTCACTCAATGTGCACCTTAGAAATTGTATGAAAATAACAGATAGGAAAATAAAACCAACATTCTGTTGTGAAGCTATGGTATGAACCACCCACCTTATCAGAGCATCAAACTATCGACCGCCCTGGCCCCCACCAGAAAAAACTTTTATTCCCAGAGAACATCCACAGGAAGTGGTGAAGTAGGCCTGAGGTCCACACCCAGTATCATTCAGGATCTGATGCATACTTCCTGGAGCCAGACGCCAGAGGACACCCAGAGCTGTCCCATTGGTCAGTGGGTCAGAAATCCTTTGGAGGCATAAGGAGAATTTTTTTCTCTTACTTAACCAAAACTCTGTGACAATCATCTTCTTACTCTATGTATGGCTGTGTATGTCCATCTATCCATCCATCCATCCATTTTCTGTCACGCTTCTCCCAAGAGGGGTCGCGAGGGATGCTGGCACCTGTGTTGCTTATAAACATGGGTACACCCTGGACAGGTTGCCAGTCCATCACAAACAGCACAAACAACCATTCAAACACACCAAAGGAGAATTTAGAGAAGCCAATTAACCTAACAGTCATGTTTTTGGACTGTGGGAGGAAGCCGGAGTACCCGGAGAGAACCCAGGCATGCTCAGGGAGAACATGCAAACTCCATGCAGAAAGACCTTCTTGCTGCAAAGCAGCAGTGCTACCCACTGCGCCACTTAGCAGCCCTGGCTGTATATGTAAGCTATCTATTTTGCTTTTCTTTAACACAATTTAGCAGTGAAATAATCCTATTATCAGTCCTTTATTTTCCTTTACTTTCTGTTTTTAGCTGCTATTTTCTTGCATTTGCATCGTGTTTGCAGTGGTATTATTAGATACATTTTTTTATTGATTTCCTTTCAATGTATGAACCTGTACTGAACCTTGGCCACTTTGTTTTTTATTTCTTTTTATAAATTTTTTTTTTTTTTTTTTTTTTTTTTTTTTTTAGAATACCATCACACAAGACTTGTGTGTGAAAATGAGCGTCTGAGGCTGTCCTGTAAAAATGAGACTGTTCTGGCCATCTACTCGGCTACGTTTGGCCACCTCCTCCACGGGAGTCCCAACTGTCCTGAGGAACCCAGATCAAAGTCTGACATGGGTCTGAAACACACATCCATTGGCAGACAGTGGAACAGAAACTACATTGGGGAATTTTACTTGTGATGCTGTTTGATCAGAGCTAAGAAGTGATTTCTATTAGTCCATATCTGTGTTTGTTTTAGAATGTTTGTCAGCTGTGGCTCTAAGGAAGGTGTCCCGCAGATGTCACGGAAGAGAAAACTGTTCAATTTTTGCAGATACTCAAACCTTTGGGGACCCCTGCTTTCCTGGCACCAGGAAACACCTGCGAGTCTCCTTCACTTGTGGTAAATAACAGATTATAGATCAATATCCACAGCTAATTAAATATGGCCTTCTCCTACATGTAACATCTAACTTTCTCTTCAGTGCCCAGATATCTGCTTGAAGACATGGGTCGAGGGTCAACAGATCCTTTCATGATCTCAGACCTCACACATGGTGAGGCACTAAATATATTCTCATAGGCTTCATTGTGTGAGGTATCCGGCTGACTGGTCTCAGAGCCCAGACCCCTCTCACCTGCAGGCGGATGGTACACTGGCCCCACCTACTGGTCTCAAAATGTCTTCTTAAACAACTGCCTGGAGATCATTGAAAAATTATTGGGTATGTCGTCTGTTGCCTGAGATGCCAGTCTGGACTCAAGTTGATTTTAAACAAATGGCCCATACATCTGATCATTAGTGTAAAACAAAGGGCAAATATACAGCAATAGCTTATTACACACACACAAAAAAAGTTTTGTTAACTTACTAACTAGGAACTCAAATTAAGTAAAAAAAATATGTCTGCATAATATAATGGATTTTCATAGCAAAACACTAAATGGATGGACCTTCAAGTAAATACGAAGAAAAAACAAACAAACTTGCAACTGCCATCCACTCAATTGGGATAATCTGTTCCCGAGACAACACTAGTCATGTTACACTCAATGAACCTGACCTTGAAGGCAAAAGTGTTGAGAAGACAGAAGATGTTAGTGGAAAGACAAAAGACGCAATGCATAGAGTGTGCCAAGAATAAAGTCAGTAAGTGGACATACCATGTTGAGGGGGAGCTCTGGCCAAAAGACAGTGATCATACAAAATACAACATATTGTGAAGAAAATACTCTGCAATTCACCCTGAATGCACTATGTGAAACATGGAGGGGGTAGAGTCATGCTGTGGGGTTGTTGTTTTATAGGCATGTAAGGGGATACTGTTCAAATCTGATGTGATTTCACATGAAATCACTATAAGTAAAGTGTGTTATTGTAATGTTACTGCATTGAAACAGTCAAGGCCTGTGAATGTTTGTCTCTGTTGCCATCATTTCTCTATCGTTCATCGTTCCTGACTAGGGCTGAACGATTCTACCAAACATCAAAATTTCGATTATTTTTAACCAAATTTGTGATTTTATAGTGATTTTCCTTTATGCTAACCCCAAACTTATCGTTTTTGTCACCCCTGGTTTTCAGTTTTTGTAAGCCTGCTTGCACAGAGGCCATTGTTGTAGGACTTTACTACTTGCGTGCAGACCTGCATGCTAGCCCCAAAAATATCTACCTTTCAGTGTGGCGACAAACCCACTTCAAATGTTTTAAGCCACATAAATGACTAGAGTGAGATGTATTGTGTATCTTGTTAAGTATAGTGAGTGTCTTTGCGATTGGAAAATTGCGTTTTCTTTAAATTGCGATTATATTGCAAATTTTTTTTTTGTAAGATGAACAAGGGGTAAGGTGGTTATCCTATTGGGTCTGAAACATTTCCCACAAGTATATTAAGTTTCTTAGTATAATTATCTAGTTTCTTATGGAATAACTGTAAAATTTTAGAAATTGTGACAATGTTGAAATGGGTCTATAATTTGTCATTCCTGTTTATCTCCATTTGCAAACTTCATTCAATCTGGGAATATACCTGACTGCAAAGACAGGCTAAATATGTGGTCAATGTTTGACAACGAATTCAATACTTTATTTTTAACATTGACATATCCAACCTGTTCCAGCCAGCTGACTGTGTTGCCTCACTTTTTCTGACAATTGTAAGGATTTCACTTTCCTCAATAGCATGAAAAAATATAGTTTTATCTTAACATTTTGGGCTGCAGTTTTTCTTAGTCCAATAAACCAGAATCTTTTCTCACTGTGTTTGAGGTTGAGTTTGGTCAAACTGGTTACGTCATGTTAAACAGTTTATTGTTTCTTTTAATTTGGAGTTATCTTCATTCTTTCCTTTGTTTTAATCCATAGCATGATTTGATCACTTATCAAGCTCTGGTATCTCATGATTCCCTTTTGCCTGTTTTTGAGATTTACTCAGTTAACAGTTTCCAGTCCAGGTGTATTGATTCTTTTTTTTTTCTGAATCTTTGTTTCTCTTGCAATTGCAACATTTTCTTAATGATGTGCTCATTCAAAAAAATACCAGATCCCTTTAATATTTTGCCATTCCTCAGCATCTCCATTTTGGACTTTTTACTAACAAACTGAAGGGGGATATTTGGCTGTTTTCTGGAGCAGAATATAGGAAGTAGCAATGTACTTACAGTCTAATTTAATGTATTTACTGTCAGAAAACTTGCCTACCAGTAGCTCAAGTGTAAGCACACCAGGATTAGAAGTAGTTATTAGCAGATTTTCATCTCCGTCATCAACACTTGCAGCTTGTGCATTGGTGTAATGTATTTGAAGTCTGGTTTGAAGGACATCATCCATTCTTGAATACTGTTCCAAATAATCAATTTTTGCATTTCTTCATTTTTCTTGTCCTTGAGTTCTTCTAGTTCTACTTTTTATTATTTGATTTCCTCAATTTCCTTCAGTTCCATTAGGCCTCTATATTAATTTACCACTTTAGTCATTTCCTATGGTTTGAAGCCAAGTGATCTCTTAATCTCTTCAATATTTTCAGTCCAGTTTCCATAGTGTCAATATTCACTAATGACATATGCAAGTAAATGTACTTCAAAGTCTCCTCTGCTTCTCAGGGGTTTAGGCTGCAGCTTATCAAATGTGCAACTTGGTCAGCAAAAAACTAAATATTTGCATACTATTGTCCATCTCCTTTAGGTTAAATTTAATATTTTGGTTTGATGCTGTCCTATTTTCTGGATATGTTTAGGATTGTGGAACTAAGCCATTTAACCTTTGACTTTAATAGCCCTGACACTATCTTAGGTAAAGCTATTGTTTTTTCCCCCCTCAGAATTAAACATTTCTTTAATGGGACCACTGTGTTTGGTTTATGACTGATGGACACTTTTTTCTTTCAGGTCTCCCAGAGAGAGTGGCTCTATACTTTGTCTCTGGCATCTGTGCCGGTCTGGTGTTCCTGCTCTGTCTTTTTGGGCTTCGCTCCACATTGGTGAGAGATGTCAAAGACCTGGTTTCTGACCTGAGCGATCAGCTGAAAGCCTCACGCAGGCAGCGCAAAGAGCTTATGGATGACCTCTTTGATGAAGATATCTCAGACACCTCCTCCTTCCGCCACCTCACGCAATCCTACCGTACCACGGAAACTTTTAGCCCGTCCACCATAACAGTAGAGCTGGTTGAGCGAGATGTGCAGCAGACAAGGGATCTTCCCAATGGAGACATCTGGCCACAGGTGGACTCCAGTCCCTATGCCATTCACAAGATTAAAACTTACAGCAACTGATTTAGGTCAGATTGTTTGGCCTAAAGGGGAAGAAGAATAGCAGTAACTATAGGAAATTTTTACTTAATCTAAATTCTGCTTTGCATCAATTATGTTGAAGTAAAATCCCTATAAATAATATTGTGATTGATGCCTTTAAAATCTAAACTGGCCTTATGCTCTTCATTGATATTATTATATGCAAATTTTACACAATTTTAACAGTTATTTTAACATTGCTTAGACTAATAAATGGACAAGAGGAAATAAATACAATACAATATATTTTGCAAGTTCTTCCACTTAGAATTCATGGAGGGGTCTGAAATTGTCAGCACAATGTATTAGTTTTTAACTATTTCTTTTCATGATACAACTGCAAATAAGTATTTGAACGCTGTCTATCAGCTAGAATTCTGACCATCAAAGACCTGTCAGGTTGCCTTCAAAATGTACAACTCTACTCCATTTATTATCCTAAATTAGACCATTTGGATGATCCAGAGGAGTCATGGGAGAAAGTCATGTGGTCAGATGAGACCAAAATAGAAGTTTTTGGGGCATAATGCCACAAACCATTTTTGGAGGAATAAAAATTATGAGTACCATACCAAGAACACCATCCCTACAGTGAAGCATGGGGGTGGTAGCATCATGCTTTGGGGGTAATTTTCTGCACATGGGACAGAGTGATGGCACTGTATGAAGGAGAGGATGATCGGAGCCATGTATTGGGATATTTTGGGGAACAACCTCCTTCCCTCACTTACAGCTTTGAAGATGGGTCTAGGCTGGAAGCACACAGCCAGGATAACCAAGGGGTGGCTCAAAGAAGCATATCAAGGTTCTGGAGTAGCCTAGCCAGTCTCCAGACCTAAACTCAATAGAGAATATTTGGAGGGAGCTCAAACTCCGCATTCCCCAATGACAGTCCAGAAACCTGATTGAAGATCCTTGTGGAGGAGTGGGCCAAAATTCCTCCCGTGGTGTGTGCAAACCTGGTGAAAAGCCACAGGAAACCTCAGATGTCTGTAATTCGAAACAAGGGCAATTTACATTGATTTTCTAAGGTGTTCAAATACATGTTTGCTGCTGTATCATACAAATAAATAGTTAAGAAAAATCATATATTCTGATTTTTTTTTGAGAATATGTCTCTCACAGTTGACATGCACCTACAATGACAATTTCGGATCCCTCTATGATAGAACTTGCTAAATAGCAGGGTGTTCAAATACTTATTTTCCTCACTGTATATGTATATAAACATCTTCAGTATTGGCATTACTAGACTTTCACTTTTGTTACTGTTAACCGCACCATATAGGCTCAGACAGATTAGAGTTTTTCTCATGTGTTTATGGTTAACTAAACTCTTTCTAAAAAGCTAAAAGATGGTCGATCAGAGTAGTGTCCTTATTACTTTAGCAGCAGCCATACTAGATGCATTGTTAATTCAACTTTATGTTTCTAAATGTGTTTATATTAACTGTATGTTTGTCTAAGTAAAACACCTTAAGACTAAAGCAAGTTCTTATTCATTATAAAACACTCCTTATTAAAACTTTATCTGATTCTGACTGATTTGTCGGCCCCTTTGCTGCTGCATCAGACACAAGTCACCATGAAGGTAAAGTCACTAAATGTGTCCTGTTGGGTGCCATTCATTTTGAGAGTACACACTGTCTGTTTCAAGTATGTGTGAATGTTATCTGGTTTGAAAAAACCCCACTTATCATCTACTGATAAGGTATAAATAGCATACTGGCCAGATAAAATGTTTGACGTAGGAATCTATGCTGCAGCAACTGACATATCTTCAGAGGTGTAAAAGTAGTAGTTCATTTACTCAAGTAGCTTTATAAGTCCTACTGTTTAAAAACACTTTTGAAGAAGTTTGACTATCAATTTAAGCTTTTTACTCAAATAAAGGTGAAAAAGTAAAATTTTTAAAAGTACTTAAAGTATACAAGTAAAAGTAATGCAGTAAAAAACGTTAAGGACAGATGCTTTAAACTTTATACTGGTTGCTGCATTATGCTATTAAAGAACAGTTTTCTACAATTCAGGATGAAAAATTCCTTATATGTAATTTTGCTATATTTATAATTAATTGTAACCGTGTCAAATTTAACTTTGGATCATCATGATTTAGGTTGTGGTGAACAACAAGTTGGTGCAGCACCAAGTCCGACCGCAAAGGAATATAATTGTCTGGATAAAGCTTATTATAATTTTGTTTTATATGAGCAGGCAATAACGAAAATGAGCTTAAACGAACAACATCTATTTTTAAATGCAAGGAGTAGAAAGTAGAGATAATTGCAAAAAAAAAGATGTAATGAGTAGAAGAAAAAAGTTGTCTAGAAAATAATTAATCTAGTAAAGTATAGTCAAAATTTCTACTTAAGTAAGGTAATAAAGTATTTGTACTTTGTTACTTGACACCTCTTCATATCTTTGACACCTTTTACAACTTATGTTTGAGCAAAAAAATTTCAGCTTACTGCTTTGTAGGATGTGTTTATTTGCAAAGTCATGAAAAACAAATTGAACTTTTAGATATCTATCTATCTATCTATCTATCTATCTATCTATCTATCTATCTATCTATCTATCTATCTATCTATCTATCTATCTATCTATCTATCTATCTATCTATCTATCTATCTATCTATCTATCTATCTATCTATCTATCTATCTATCTATCTATCTATCTATCTATCTATCTATCTATCTATCTATCACTGGTTCCTCCTGGGCTGTAGGTGGCAGTATGTGGCTGTATTTATTACTGAGTGCCTCTAAAAGTCTGGAAGATGAAGTCGTGGTGCAAGGAGCCAGCTTAGCACATTCCCTCCAGGAGAAGTAGCGGTGTTTCTCCTCCCTGCTGCCCCTTCATACTATGCTGTCTGACGGCTTTACCTCTTGACGCGGATCGGGACGTTGCGACAGCTGGATAACACCACCTCGTCTGACCCAGCGATGGGCGCTAATGGATATCTGAGGGTCTCTGTGCCTTGTTAAGCATCTGAGGAAAACCCTCCAGCGGCTAGCTAAACAGCGGTTAGCATTAGCCGGTGAAAAAAAAAAAAAACATTTCCCCGGAAGGAGGCCGCCGCAGTACCGGGTGGGGATTTGTATTTCTTGTCCCACTGATCCTAAAACAAAGCTGACATTAACTTTAAACTGATTTTGTTTCCTGGTAAGAATGGAGTCCACTTTAAGCAACGAGGAATGCTTGGCAATATCCTTTTAGGCATGAATGTTTCACTCCACTTAAACTAATGTTAGCGCTGTTATGTCTTTACTGTAGCATGATAAGAAAAACACATCTTGACTTTTAATATGAGTCCACTTTAACCAAAATAATGACGCTCATACTAACATTGACTAAACCTATTAATGTGTCAGTAGCAGCCTGTATTTTTGGATAAAGTTGCTGCTTTGATTGCTTTTTAACTGCTTCCTGCTTGATTGTTGTGATCAGATTAATGGTTATCATTTAGACTTTTTTTAAACACGTTTTCTACAGCCAGACTGTAAACTGGTCAGTTTATTGGGGCATAGAGGTGATATTTGAGTTAAACAGGAGTGATGTCCACTGTCTCCTTCCACCCTCCATCACAATGATTCCTTGATTGTTCTGCTCAAACTGTGAAAGCTCAGGAGCTGAGGTCTGGCCACAAGGAGCCCAGACTACTGTCACTTATTGAACGCAATGGAGACTTTATGTAAGTACCAGATATCTCCTTAAAAACATCACTTTTTAAATCGACTTGGATGTCTCAGCCTGAATAGTTTAAAAGTTTTCTGTGTAAAGCTCTGGCTTTTTGTTCCACATTAACCTACTAAAGTTTAAACAGCATTTTGTTTAACCATTAAGCTTTTAGTTAAAGTTTATTTTCTCTGTTAAGGGGTAGAAGCAACATTACAGCACAGTATGAGAGAGAAGTGAGCATGGGTGCCGTATGGGGAGGAGTTAGGAAGATTCCAAGGGCCTTTGATTGAGGGGGGGCACAAAAGAGGAATAAAATATATGTCCAGTCATATATTTCAAATATAAAAAGAAAATCTAGCATTAAAATAAATTATCCTTGTGTTCGCTCATTTTCCAGCAATAAACGGCGAAATAATGCATAAATATATTGTGTTGAAATCTGTCTCATAATGAGTTTAGATTTTTATATTCAGATTAAATCACAACCATTAAAAGACATCTATAAATCTTGATCAATCTCACGAACAGCCTGAAGCAGCAACATCAAAAATCCATGTTTTGTAATTACACATATTCAAGTAAGTTCTCAAGGCCAGCATAAAAATAATCTGTCCTTTAATAAAGTTAAAGTGAAACCTTACAAGACAATATTTTCACAATCTAAAACCTTTTTTCTTTTCATTTGTACATGGATACACCTATGTTGTTTGCTTTAACCTGTTATTATTTTGAGATAATGATTTTTAATATAAGGTTTTAAAGTTAATGTATATTTAACTTTTTTGCATTACAATAATTTTCTTATGTACAAATTTTACAATAAAAGTTATTCTTCAGTGCATCTTTATAAAGTGCAGTTTTAAAGCTTGCATCATTCTTTTTTGATGGTGGCGACCCTGGCAGTGACTATAATGGTTATGCTAATTAAAAAAACAAATTATTAGGATGGGGGGGGCCTTTTTTCTGAAACATGTCATTTATTCCAAATATTCATTAGTTATTATTATATTAGATATACCAAATCATGTTTCCAAACCCTAAAAAAGGGATTATTTTGCTAATCAATTCATCTTTCATTTGTTTTCAATTAATAATCGATAGCAAGCACTTCCTTAAAGAATTTTTTCCCCCAGATTTTAAACCAGATGAATCTTGAACTGTTCTGGATGGAGCATATTTATGGCTTAAAATGTTTTTTTCATCTTAAATGCAAAATGTTTGTGTTTTTTTAATTTATTTATTTATTTTTTTACACTTTTGGTATAATTAGTGCTCCGAGTGGGTCGCTATGCTCTGGTTAACGATTAATCAGTTATTAAATTAGTTGACAGTTATTTCAGAAATACAAATAGTTGTTTTAGCTCTAGTTTTTTAAAACAAACTTAATTATCAGCTTTTGCTTACAGCAGAAATTTGGTCATAAAACATTGAGAAGACTTAAAAAAAAAATTGAACAGAGAAATTTTGAGCGAATGAAAGTATGTTTAAGATCTGGTTAAATTTTAAAAAAGCATAGTTTAACTTTTTTTTTTAAGTTTTCATTAATGTTTCATCCATCTGGCTGTATTATGCACTGAGGCGTAAATCTGATTAACATGCTTGATGTTCTGATGGAGCCCAGAGCTGAACCAGAACCTCCTTCAACTGCATCACTTTGATCCGGGGATTTTTAGCTCAGTGAGCAGCCTCTTTGTGTCCACGCAGTACAGCTCTGCTTTGTAAAGAAACTGGAAGTCAGGCGTTAGATCCTGAACAGTGTCCGTTTGACAGCTGCAGGGTTTGTTTAGTGATGGTGTGACAGCAGTGGGAAGTCAAATCACACGTAGTTCAGTTAGTTTTGCTATCAGGCACCTCGCTGCAGATTATCCAGAATTCCTTCACTTTGCCTTGGGCTATAATGAGACTCACATGGGCTCCAAGCCTCAGGCTTGGAGCCCATGAGTTCAGTCCAGCTAACCGTGTCTAAACCACATTAACTCAACTGAGGAGCAGTTCTGATTGGCCAAGCTGAGCCACCAGGGTTCAAATACACACAGTTTGCCATACCTGTATATAGTAATATTTGATTATTATAATTACATTAAAATATCTGCTCTATCACAATGACAATCTTTAAAAACATACACTAACTACATACTTTTATCTTTGTAGCAAGCTTTAGTGTACATTTTTTTATTGCTCAAATGGGACAAATAAAAAAATATAAGACCTAATAATCAGATTGAGGGGACAAAAACTGAACTTAAAGTGTTTATTTTTAAGGTCACCTAGTTCTAAAAAAAAGAAGTTAGCTAGCTGTTAATTAGGTTAATTAATATGGGTGAAATATAGCCCATCTAATTCTTATCCTCCCAGTGTTATTTTACAAAGAGAAGACAGAGCAATGTTTTTCTGCTTGGTAAGCAGGTTGACTTTTAAGGAATAAATCATATTTTGGATAATAATCTGTGGCTGAAATCATAATTTTACTTTTTCCAGAAAACATTATAATGCTTATCAGTACTTGTCTGTTTTTTTTTTTTTTTTTTTTTGAATGATTCGAGTTCTGTGAAATCCAGATTTTTTACGCAGGGTAATCATATCAGGATGATTTCATACCAGCTCCCCCTTGCAGTTGAGGTTTTTTTCTTCCAATGGACATTCTGTTGAGATTTTCCGGGATAATTCAGAGGACTGCCTCTGACACATTTAGTGCTGGAGAACCTGAATCACTTTCCTTTCTGCCATCACAATCACTTTTATTGTGAAAAGGAAGTGTGATAAGAGAGCTGCTTTGACCTCCTTGCTGTTGGTCAGATATTAGTGGGTGTGGTCCATTACACAGCCCACATGAACACTCAACAGAGATCCAAAACTTGCATAACACTTTTTATCCCATTGCTGTAGTGTAGACACTATAGATTGTCCCTATTACCTCTGAATGTAGAACAGTTCATGCTTCTTAGTTTTCTCCCATTTTCTACTTATTCAGCTAAAGTCACCTTAGAGAATTACTTTGCATGAATGCATGTGCTCTAAATACTAAATATGCATTTTTGTTTATTCCCAGCATAGATCTCATTTGTTCTGAGTGCTCTGCATGAGTCATTTTTAATTGCATAATAGAAGATGTGATAGAAAATAGATATTTCTGCAGTTCATCTCAATATGCTTAGTTTTTTTTCTTTAAGTCTATGAAACTGAACATTTTCATCTTTAATAAAGCATTATGGATTTATGGAAGGTCAAAATCTGTGCTACTCTTGTCTAGATTGGGTGTTTTGGCCACGCCTGATGTCGTTGTGTCTGGTCCAGTGGCCCAGTTATCCATTCCTATAAACCATAAGTTTGAAATTATACGAGGTATGTAGTTTTTCTTTTTTGCTTTTCAACTCCATGTCAGTCATTTCAGTTTCACTCTGCATATGTTAAAATATTGTTACGTTCTTGATATTTTTTGAGGACATCCGCCCTAATTCTGTCAAAGGATTCAGTAAAATATAATGCTAATGATACACAAATATGTGTTATTCACACTCCTTTTACCACATATCTGCAAGCTTTTGTAGATTTTATTTAAATTTAAGACTTTAAGAAAGTAGTACATAATTGTGAAGTTGAAGAAAAAATGTGAAAGGTGTGATGCGCACCCTCTTCAGCGGGAACAGCTGGACGCGTGTTTTGGGTTTGCTCCAGTGGAAGCTGCTGCTCTCAGAAACAGGCGAGGCTCAGTGGTTTTAAATAAATCCAAACTTCACGTAATGCAATAACAAATGTTGAAACGCATAAAACACATCACTACAATGGATAAAAATAGCTGTTATGAAGCGCTCTGAAATAATAAAACACAGAATGCACGGAAAGAGTTCAGCACAAGTCAGTGCAAGACTGCTCTGACTGAATTATTACTTTTCCCTCTTGACTCATGAGTAGAACCTCCTCGCTGTTTGGCCACTGTCAGTCAAAAACTCTTATTTGTGTTTGCCAATCAGCATCGAGCTGCCAGCTTCATGACGAGCCCCTGTTCCACAGACCTAAGAGGTTTAGGCTCACTGGAAGTGACATATTTTGGTGTGACATACAGTCAGGACCTCACTTTCTCGCTGCTTACCTTATAAGACTGAGGCTCAAACCTCAAAGGGGATTTCTCATAGAGACTGACAGGCAGCTTCCTGCTGTTCCAGAGCGGGGGGGAGAACGAGCAGCTGATTAATGTGCCACAGTCTCATGAAATCAGGCACATTTTTGTGCATATTTGATGCAGTTTAATGACTATTTTAATGAAGTTTGAATGCATATTTTACCACTCCTTGATAGAAATTTCCATGGGAGTTTTAGCCTCTTTAGTATTCAATAAAACCACCACTGGTTTGCCCGTACCAGCTTTGTATCTTTAGAAATGGACTAATTTGCTCAATTTTCTTCTTAAAAGAATCAGTAATAGGCGGCGTTCACAGACATGAACCACTTTGTGTTAAATCAAAATAGCTGTAATTTTTTCACTTGTAAGGTGTCAAACTGGGGAAATTCAAAGGTGTTTTCATTGCTATTTTAGGTGTTCTTTTTTGAACCTTCACTGAAGGTCAGGTCAAATTGCTGTAAAATTGAAGGTCTAGGCCAGTAGCATTTTCATTTTCACTTCAAAGGAAAATATTGGAAATAATCCAGATCCTGCTCCTCAGAAAAATCTGTAACACTGCAGGTCCACTCCCAGTGCAGACCTTTGAACTTCACTGTTTTCCTGTCTTTCTCGTTTCCCTCCAGAAGCTGAAGAGGCTCTTCTTATCGACTTCTCTGACGATCGTGAGTACTTTTTGTCTCCTTTGAATTAACTTTATGCATCCAATTAGATTTTCTCTTTATTTTCCTAGTTCATCCAGAGATTTTTAGTTTTTCAAGCTTTAATGCAGCTCCCCTTTACATTCTTACATGTGTCGAGCATGCCTGCAGCCAAGTGCCTTTATTTAGTTGGTCTGCAAGTAGCCAGGGCTCGCTGAAAGAATGCTGACTTGTGTTCCTGTTGCGCCACGTCTCTTTTGTTACTAAGCCACTTTGCATCTCTCTTGCATTTACAAAACCCAAACGTGTCTGACATGCATCTGTTTTGCTCCCCCGTCTTAAGCGTCTATTAAAATCCGACTAAAAGGAGAAAAGGCTCCAGAGCTGATGCTTGAACTCCAGGATGACGAGCGGACTCAGACGTTCTTAACCCAGGTGAAAAGTGCTCAAGAGCGAGGTGAGACTGGCTGCTTAGAGTAAGATGATAAATTATTGAGTCACTCATCTAACATTTATTTACCTAGGGTGGATTTCGCCACTCGCTGATCTCTGTGTGCTCTTACCTTCGCACACGAAAAAACAACTTATAGAAATACTTTGCAAATGCCCTCAATGGACTTTTCTATTTCTTTTAATGCACTCAAACAGATATAAATGAGTATATTATTGGAATGATTAATGTTTTATAATTGTTGCTGCAATTTGATTTATGGGCTTAACAAAATTTGTTTTTTTTGCATGAACTTGCACATATGCATGTATTTAGCTACTTTTATTACTGTCTGTAGCTCAGAGCATTGAAGAAAACTGTTCCAACATGCTGGAATATGTGTTGAGTCAGTGAGATAGATGCTTCATTAACTGCTAGCCATAATAATATGAAGCCACTGTGTTTTGCATATATATGATATATTTCATTGTGTTTCTTGCTTAAAGTGACATGGACCTAATCTCAATCTGTCCCAACTAAAGGATTACATTAGTGAGAAATAAAAAGCCCCCACCAAAATGCAATATTAAATAATTTGGTTATTATAATTTTATGATGGTGTTAGATGTTTTTATTACCTTGATTAGAAAAATAAAAGATAGCTGTTACGGTTAGAGAATTTTGATCTAACAAATACGGCTTTGAATTGGAAATGGTTGTTATGGTTATGGTTATTTCAGTTTTTTTATTTATTTTTACGCGCTGGCATTGAGTTGCTGACTGGGTGGTAACCCCTCATACTTAACATGCATGTAGTGACAGCGGAAGATAATAAAAGGAAGTGAGTCGCAGTTCCGCTGCACTTTTCCCTTAATTGTGAAAGCTTTGAAAAGTTAACTCTTAATGTCCAATCAAATGAGAGTAGATAACAGATTGTTGAGGGACAACTCTAGTATTTCTTTTTCCTCTGGGACAATAAAGTTATGATTTAAAGGAATAGTACACCCAAAACATGATTAGCCTTCATTTTCTACTCACCCCCATGCTGAACAACACTCTGGAGTACTTTTTTGATATCTCAAATGCATCTGGAGATCTGGGAGACTTCTTGCTGTCTGCTGACATTCAAATAATGGAGGTCTATGGCGCCCGAGACAGAAAGGTCCACAAAAGTCCACAAAAACTTGTCAATATTCCTCCATACTGCTCGTCCAATGTAATCCAAGTGTCCTGAGTGGGTAGCATCCAGAATTTACTCGAAACGAAGTCATTTAGAACGTTTTAGAGCCTAAACAGTAGTGTATAGGATTTCCTAATAGCGCCCCCATGCGCGCTCACGATTCTACGGAAGCCGGCAGACCAAACCAGCGCATTCAGCTCGGCAAAGAACTCATGCTCTTCCTCAACACTGAAGTCCTCAGACATTTTTCTTTCGTTGTTTCTTTCTTTGCACAGGTAAACAGCACATTTCTTCTTCTACGCTTGCATTATCGGCAGACCAGACGCTGAATGCGCACTTCCTTCCGGTTTGGTCTGCCGGCTTCCGTAGAATCGTGAGCGCGCATGGGGGCGCTATTAGGAAATCCTATACACTACTGTTTATGCTCTAAAAACATTCTAAATGACTTCGTTTCGAGTAAATTCTGGATGCTACCCACTCAGGACACTTGGATTACATTGGACGAGCAGTATGGAGGAATATTGACACGTTTTTGTGGACTTTTATGGACCTTTCTGTCTCGGGCGCCATGGACCTCCATTATTTGAATGTCAGCAGACAGCAAGAAGCCTCCCAGATCTCCAGATGCATTTGAGATATCAAAAAAGTACTCCAGAGTGTTGTTCAGCATGGAGGTGAGTAGAAAATGAAGGCTAATCATGTTTTGGGTGTACTATTCCTTTAAGCCTTAATACAGCAAACAATCTGTGTGAATATTTGCTATTTGTAACACCTGGGGGTTAGTATGCATTAAAGCCCGCAGGGCTGCTGCCAGGACTGTACAATGTGTGGCTGACATATAATCCTATAGTCAGGTTACATAATATTTGCATCACATATGACTATTTTGAATGCAGTTAACCAGGATGAGAGACACAACAGTAAAGATAACATGGATTTATTAAAACGGATATTTTTGTGACAATATTTCTAAAAAAAAATGTCTCTAAATATTTTTCCAAAGGCAAACGACTTGAACGTGCTGCAGCAACAGACATTGGAATCTGGTTTTAGCAAAAGGTTTCTCATATTTTTAATCTAAAAATGCTGACAGATTATCTTTTAGCTATTGAAAAAGGGTCAGACTGGGACATTTTATCTTTAACTTTATCATTAACAAACATTTGTTTAATGCTGAAATTGAAAACATCTGATTTATATGTGTCTTCTACCTATATTTTAGGGAATTAGAGGTTTAAATGATGAGTCTTTTAGTTTAAAATTGGTGCATGCACAGATGACTCATGGGAGGTAGTCACAGAAACTAGGGGACGCAAATTATGGGTTAATGAATTGATCTACAGTTGGTTGATCGCATGGATAGTCTAACCATTAAAGGTATTGTGGAGGTTTTTTTCACACATTTTTTTAAAAGACCCGCCCTCTCCACTTAAAAATAAAATAAAATAAAAAATTGCACATGCACAACCCTGTTCCTGCTCCCAAGAGGAAATGCCTATGCCTCATCATCATTATTGGTGTTAATGTTTTAGTCTACAAATAATTCTAGAAAATGTCACATCTTGTCATCAACACTTAAACCAGCTGGTTAAACGGGCGCTATCTAGGTGGTAATTTAAGGAGTCTATCAAAGAATTATTTACTTACAAACGGAACATAATAAAATTCATTCTGCATCATTGTTGCCATTAAGGAGTGTAAATAATGCTGGACTGAACTCTGCATCCATTCATGGTTCTATTTTAGCACGCTTCCGCTCTGGCATTACTTCTCTTGCATATACTAGTGACGCTCCGCTTAAAGGAGAATTCCGGTTTTTAACACTTTTAGCCCATTTTCTGTAGTGTCCAGGATGAAATCGAATGATCGACACCAAAATTTTGACAATTGGTCCTGTCTCTGCTTTTTGGCTCATTTAGAATCCACCCCTGGCTGCTTCAGAATGGCTTCCATAGTGCACGTCCGATAATGTCCTTAAAGGGATAGTTCGGTATTTTTGACATGAATCTGTATGGCATCCCCATCACCAGTGTCATGCAATCACACTGACTTACCCCTGGCAGCGTCCTGTGAGCAGAGTTCTCGTCCAGTTTTGGTCAAGCCGAAAGTAGTCCGGCAGGTTTGCTAGACCCAGCGAAATAAAACGTTTCTCTTCCCAAAACATTATGTGTTCAAAAGAGCGATATTTTTGCATCCCAAAAACGTTGTAGTGGAAAAAGTCACATGTCGTTATCACTTGGTCCTATTTTCTCTCTGTTCGTATCAGTGCGCGCCGTCATTCAGACAGCGAGCTCAACAACAGCCAGATGCATGTCTCCCTCCGCCTAGCTCCTAGCTGGGCGGAGGGAGACATGCATCTGGCTGTTGTCAGGTTAGTAGGCCCTAGCTGTCTGAATGACGGCGCGCACTGATACGAACAGAGAGAAAATAGGACCAAGTGATAACGACATGTGACTTTTTCCACTACAAAGTTTTTGGGATGCAAAAATATCACTCTTTTGAACACATAATGTTTTGGGAAGAGAAACGTTTTATTTCGCTGGGTCTAGCAAACCTGCCGGACTACTTTCGGCTTGACCAAAACTGGACGAGAACTCTGCTCACAGGACGCTGCCAGGGGTAAGTCAGTGTGATTGCATGACACTGGTGATGGGGATGCCATACAGATTCATGTCAAAAATACCGAACTATCCCTTTAAAACAACCTTAAACGTTCTTTTTTTAAAATATGCTACTCACCGGGTCGTCAGCGCTGTTCAATGACGTTCCAAAAAAAGTTTCGTGAAGAAAAACCGTTCCTGTAGTGTTTTATTTAGCATTTTGTAAATCCCATTGAGTTCTGTTGGAATAGTCAATACTCCCCTGCCACCGGAAACGGAAATGGGGCCTGTTTACACAGTTGTAGTCTTTTCGCTTCACTCTGTGTACTCCGACGTCGAGAATCAAGAATCCACCTTTCGTATTCCATTTTCAGAGTTTTTTAAAGTGTTTAACAGAGACGTTAGCACCTCGACGTCGGAGTACACAGAGTGAAGCAAAAAGACTACAACTGTGTAAACAGGCCCCATTTCCGTTTCCGGTGGCAGGGGAATATTGACTATTCCAACAGAACTCAATGGGATTTACAAAATGCTAAATAAAACACTACAGGAACGTTTTTTCTTCACGAAACTTTTTTTGGAACGTCATTGAACAGCGCTGACGACCCGGTGAGTAGCATATTTTAAAAAAAGAACGTTTAAGGTTGTTTTAAGGACATTATCGGACATGCTCTATGCTAGCCATTCTAAAGCAGCCAGGGATTGATTCTAAATGAGCCAAAAAGCAGAGACAGGACCAATCGTCAAAATTTTGGTGTCGATCATTCGATTTCATCCTGGACACTACAGAAAATGGGCTAAAAGTGTTAAAAACCTGAATTCTCCTTTAAGAATAAACGGTGACGCCCTCTAATGGGCAGCGGTAACATTACAACACGGACTGAAATTCTTCCTAAGCGGATGATATTAACTAATTACATGGAACAAATTATTATCTAATAAACCATTAATCCACAATAATTAGTCACTTATTTATTTACATCCCTAAAAGCAACATTATGGTAAAGTGGCTTTAGCGGGTTACAGAGGTATGCTGAGCTACAGCATCATCATTAAAAAGGATGCAGCTCTTATGTACACACTGCAATATGAAACCAGCATTATCTCATTTTTCCACCCTGTTTCAAAAATGAGCATTTATGCTCTCCCAAAACTAAATCAACAAAATGCCTTTCTGGTTACACCTTATTTCGTCCCTGTGTGGATTGGGCGTAAGAACATTCTTAACAGTTTTGAATCATTTTCTTCAGTCAGTTTATTTTATCTTTTAGTCGTGCAAAGCTGGGGTCTTTGGTTGTGTTTTACTAGTTCAGTTTGAGAAAGAGTTATTGCATGTGATTAAAAAGAGCAAGTTGGCAAAAAAGTAGTCCAGTTGCCTAAATCGTTACCTAGCTATTCCCTGTCCACGCTTCAGTGGGAGTTTTGAATTTCTATCCTGCTTGTTGCTTGTGCCAAACACGGGAGAGGTACATATTTTTAAAGGCAGGTTTCGCTAAAGAAGACACTTACAAATATCCTAGTTAAACCTGTCCATCTAGTTAAATACCTCTTACTGCACGCTTTGTTTCACTGATTAGATCTAGTGCTCAGACTGTTCTAAAGTCAAACTCACTCTAGTTAGAATTTGTCTCAGAACAACATGCTTAGATCCACTCTGTATTTGTTTTTGTTAATTTGTTCTTTAGATAATAAAAAAAAAAAAACATTTCAGAAGGTCCTCTGGCGATATCACACCAGGCACAAGACAACAGACCAGTTCTTATCATTTTTATTATCATTCTCTTTCACTTTGTGCGTCTTTTAAAGTATATTTAGTTTTAAAATATTTTATTTTCATTTTTAAAGCGTTACAAGGTGAGCTGTATTTGAGAACAAAAGATTGACTTCAAGAAAAAGTGGTTCTTTGATGATAAGGGGTTTGTCTGGAATGGTCAGAATTTATTATGATAGAGCTTCAGTGATTCTTTTATGGAAAATTATAAAACATTGTAAGATTGTTGATTTTTTTTATGTCAGAGGTGGTGTTAACCTTTTGCCATGCAAAAAGTAAAACTTGCAGTATCTTAATAAAATAAAGTTTTTTTTTTTTTTTAGGTATTTGTAAATTATATATAGTTTCTTTTATTTAAAATCCGTGCTGTTTTTAGCCAAATATTTTTATAAAAAATTTATGTTTCTAAGTTTGCTTTAAAAACAACACTCTGTAAGCTTGACCCAAGTGTGAGATTAGGTTGGGTAATATTAAATTATTTTCTTCAGGTCAATATACAGCCCTTGGTACATATTGCTGCGCCGTGCAGGCTGCGTTTCTCATAAACTCACCTATGTTACTGAAGAGGGTTGGATTACCGGGTTCTTTGCCAGCACATTTCACTGAAATTAGGCTGTTATGCTCATTTTTTAGGAGCCTATGAGTCCTAATAATTTTATGGTCGCTATCAGACATATACTAAAAGTTATTTGGTATTAATTGTTTGTCTCATGCAATTTTTTTGTTTAAATTGTTTTAAAAAAAAGTAAATATTACAGTAATTTATATTAATTATTGAATATATTTTGACTAAATGATGTGCTCTCTCTAGTTGCAGCCAAACCAAGTAAACCTAAAGCGATGGAGCCCCTCACGCCAGCAGCCTACAGAGGCCCCGTCCCCATACCGCCGCAAAGGCCGACAAAGACCGCTAACAGCTTGGCTATTGGAGACAATCAAGCTAAAAGTATCAAAGCTCCAGTGTCCAACCTCAATAATACAGCAGCAAATCATAATTCTACAGGTAATGCATAGATCCACTGGTTTACAAATGAAATCTTTGTTTTCAATCTTACAATTGATCTTTTCTTGCTTTATTCGTCTTTGCTATTCATTTGTGTTTACTTATCCAACCAGATTATGCATATGTGGACAGTTTAAAGAACACCGTTAAAGTGGAAGAGAAGAAGAATCAACAGAATCGCATTGTTGCCTCCAGGGAGCCGCCTCCTATCCCGACTCTACCTCCCCGTAAAGCATCCTTCCCTCCATCCAACCCTCTTCCTCCTGCACCCATCCCAAAGGAGTCCTCTGCAGCCCTACAGGCCAGAGGCAGCTCCGTTATACCCAACACCAAGTCAGAGTAAGTCAGGCTGGACAACTTTACGGTCAGTGTAATTTTTCTGAATTATTATTGCCTTTTCAAAATCTCACCTCTTTTTCCATCCATTAGGTTCAAGTCTGAGTTTGGCTACTCAGACAGGCCAACCTCTTGGTGTGAGAGTCCGTCTACCAACAGCATGAGACAGGCCATGTTCTCTAGCGAGGCAGGCGAGAGAGAAAACCTCATTAAACACCGCCTGGGGAAAAAAGAGAAGGAATATGTGGACCTCCAGCCCTTCAGGTGAGAGGAGCTCCCTCATACTGGGAGTTGAAATGGGAATGGATGCAGCTAACTGGTCCCATTGATTCCTGGTTTATTCTGGAAGCACTATAATTAAGACTTGCGTGTGCTATGCTCCAGTAATCTTTTTAAATTGTTTTCAAGCTGCTCAACTCCACCAGATCTTTCCTAAAAATTCAACCAGATAAAGAACGCAACCACATAGCAGACATAGAAAGGCAATGCTCTTAGACTCTGAGGAGCCGTTTTATAATTTCCTCCGGCTACACTTTAATAACATAATTTTTTGGCCCCAAGCAAGAACCATATTTACCAAACTGAACATTCAATATTTAAAAAAAATATAGATATTTTTTTTAAATATAAAAAAATTGGGAAACTATCTATTTTATATTGAACCATTTTTTACCTTTATTCTATTGATTGACACATGAATACCACAGAACTGAGAGGATGATTTGAAAAATTATCAAAAAAAATGTATAAATAAAAGCAGAGACATAATTGTAACAGTAGTTATAGCAAAGTGTGTAAATGAAAAATCAAGCAGACATATAGTTTCCAAATTATTAGGAATTAGATGGAATAATTTGATCTTTATATGTAGACTATGAGACCTTCCTGGAAGATTTCTATAACATTATCTCTATGAAATTGTCACGGATGACAAAACTATAACACGATATCCTGTACTACATATGCATTAGAAAAACAAAAAGATAATAAAATGTAGGAAACAAAACATTTTCAATTGTGCCTACACTCATCTACTGATTTTCACTGATTACTAGAAAGGCTACATTTAATAGTGTGTCATTTTAAGGACTTTTGTGATCACATAAACTGCTACTTAAAAAACTCTGGAAAACATGGCTCCCATTTGGTGTAATTGAACAGGGTCTTCCAACATCCTACTGCACCTGCAGCACATAACCTCATTTAGCCCCAGGATGGTTTTAAATGGGAGTTTTAGTTTATATTAGTTTTTATTGCATTTCTGGATTTTGCCCCTATTTCTTCTAACCAGGCCTTAGCTCCCTTTTACCAGGTAAAAGTTGTCTGCAAACACCCATGAATCACAGGAAGTCTCTCACATTCAGAGAAAAATAAAGCACCTGCAGGCACTCATTTTGTCTCACCATTGAGAAGTTGGGTCACATGAGCGACCACTCTAGAGACCTGCAGGCTCACCATTAAACTACCACCATTAGAGACCTGAAGCATTGATTCAAAGTTAAAACGGTTCCATAATTTAGCCCCTCCAAAGTTGGACTTTACCTTCTGTATGTTGCAGTAGAAATCAGGCCAGGTAATGTTTTTATTATCTGTTATTGTCCAGTTTCAGTTTCCCTTTCAAACTGAAGTGACCGGCTCGTTTTATTGCTTTCTGCTGCTTTAGCTGATCTGTCTCAAAGCTTTAGGAGTTTTAAGTTTTATTGGTGGTATTTAGCATTCCTTGTTTTTAGTGATGCTGCTACTGCCGCCCTTTCTTCCATCTTGAACCAACCTGTTCATCATCTGACAGCAAGTTTTCATTCTCACTCTTTTCTATAATCCCAGCTGATCAGTAGTTGCTTAAATATTTATAGTAGGCTGTTTTGAATGAGGACCAGGCAACGTTTGAGGCTCTTAAATTAGTTTTCTTTCCAAAAAGAGTTTTGCACCATATGAGAGAAGGATGTTCTTCTTTTCAATGTGATTCCTAAAAACTAAAATTAAAGTGAATCCAATTCCTCTCTGCTTTTTTCTTTACCATTTCACAAACGGCCATGAGCTCAGGCCACTATTTTACATCTGGTGTTTATAAAAGCAGCTAGACTCCATCCTACTGGCCAAATATATCATTAATATACAGAGTGATTATATAAATATTGTCTTTTGTGATCCTACAAGCACTGATATTACAATAACAATTGCATTTCAGAATAATGTGCAGCTTTAGTTCATTGTTTACAGAGGTAAATTTCTCCAATGTGAGATAAATACATTTTAATTATTATTATGTTAAATTGTTTTGATAAAAAAAGGTGCTCATGCTTGAGTTTACCAAACTCTACATCTTGCTTTGACAGTTTCTTTATCGGTACCTGGAATGTTAACGGGCAAACTCCAGACAGCAGCCTTGAGCCCTGGCTCTGCTGTGACTCGGATCCTCCTGATATTTATGCCATTGGGTCAGTAAGCAATAAGGATGAGCCTTTTTTCTTTCCATTTAATAACATAATTAAAATTTAAATTGTCTTATGCTAAGGATGGGAGATGAATGACTCCAAAGTTTCATTCTAGTTTTCAAGAGTTGGACCTGAGCACTGAGGCGTTTCTCTACATGGACTCGTCCAAAGAGCAGGTGTGGATAGAAGCTGTGGAGAGAGCATTGCATAAAAAAGCTGACTATAAAATGGTGAGTAAAGTAGAGTGTTGAAATGCATGTGGAAGCATGAGATTCACCACAGCATGTAGAGTGCTAACATGCTTTATTCTTGTTTATCTTTTGTTTATCTTAGTCTTTGACATTTTACACATGTCAAAAACAGGGTTTTCCAGAGTTAAGGAGTGAAAGATAACTTAAGTCAAAAGCTGATTTTAAGTTAAAGCTTTTAGTTACTGTACCAGATCTAAAGCATGAGTGGCTTACAAAATAAATATTGTGTTTTTCTGAAGCAGAACCTGACATTTTAAGAAGAGAATTTTTTTTTCCTGTCTACTGTGAATAATCTGTATATATTTCTAGTATTTTTATAAACAATATGAAAGCCCAAGAAAGACTGCCATACATGCCCCCAACAGACGCCTGTGCAGACTTTTCATTTTACCACAACTTTAAAACTCTTTCAATATAACATTTTAGAAATAATAAAAGAATATTTTTATTTAAAGCTTAAAAAACTCACCCGATTGTAAATGTTACTTCTCATCTTTAGTAAAACGAAACCAATCCCAGCCCTATTTTTCACCAGAGAACAGCAAACTTTGGCAACACCACTGGCGCTTCCTAGCTTGAACCAGACCTTTATTATCAGCTCATTTCATCAATTCACGCATCCCATAATGTCACAGGATGACCTGCTGGAGATGACTAGCTCACACCCTCATCTTTTACGCCTTCTCTAATCTACATATCACTCTTCAGATGCTACAATCAGAAACATTTGCTGGGACAGTTTTTGTCAGGTGCCACCGTGTTGCAAAAACTGTAACCACAGCCTGTAATGTATGTCAACATACCTAAAATGTTTTTAAAAGTCATATAACAGTTATTGAATGAAATGATGTCCCAATGTATATTGATATTGAATTATGGTCCAGCCCTACATGAGGTGTTTTTGTTTTCATGGTAAAATGACAGCAGAACTGACCTGAAATATTTTAAAATTAAACTCGGAATTTTTAAGTGATGAGAAAAGTGTTTGGAAAAAAATAGTAATGAGTCTACAGGTCAAAAGATCTCGGTTTGTTTATACATGTTTGTAAAATGTCAAGTCACTTTTTCCTTGATGACATCTGCAGATTCGGACCATCCGACTTGTTGGGATGATGCTTGTGGTCTTTGTCAAAAAGAAGCACAAGAAGCATATCAAGGATTTGGCCACCGAGCATGTGGGGACAGGAATCATGGGGAAAATGGTTTGTTTACATTACAGTTGGACTTACTTTGCTTCCTTATAGTTTAATAACCATCTTCCCTTCATGAGTCTAAAAAGCCCTTTTAATTGATGTTTCAGGGGAACAAAGGAGGTGTTGCTGTTAGGTTTGTTTTCCACAACACCAGCTTCTGCTTCGTCAACTCCCATCTGGCAGCTCACGTCGAAGACTTTGAGCGTCGCAATCAGGACTACAGAGACATCTGTGCCCGAATGTCCTTCCATTTGCTGGACTACCCCCCTCTGAATATCGTCAAACATGAGTTAGTTCCTCAGCCATTTTTTTTTTGTCCTTTTATTTTTATTCAGATTTTAAGCACAGTTTAACTTTAAGCGTAACAGCCAGACTGAGATTGGTCAGATTTACCAACATATTACCCTGGTAAGTCTTTTGTTTAAAACCTCTTCTGTTGACTTTGTGTTTCTCAGTGTAGTAATCTGGCTTGGAGACCTAAATTACCGTCTCTTCATGTATGATGCATCAGAAGTCAAAAGGCTCATTGCTTCGAATGCGCTGAAGAAGCTGCAGGAGTATGACCAGGTAATGGACTTCTTTTGACCTAAATATGATATATGCATTAAGTACAGTCTACAAATATAAGATGTGTGAATATGTTTCCCAAATATAAAAGCAACTGTTGGCACTTTCCATGTACAGCTGAACATTCAGAGGCAGACCAAAAGAGCCTTTACAGACTTCATGGAGGGAGAGATCAACTTCATTCCCACATACAAGTATGACAACAAGACGGACCGATATGACTCGAGGTAAAAAAAAACAAACAAAAAAAACATGATGTGCATCAGTTTGTTTAAAAAAAAAATAAAAAATGTTTTAATTTTTCCAAAAAATACACATGATATAGCTTCACTTTTTTTTTCCAAAAGTAAGATCAGCATGATTCCTAACGAAAGCAGTAAACAATAAAACTTTGCCGTATCCAGGTCTCTATCTGCTGACGGTCTTCAGGCCTGTTTCAAAAAGCAGGTTTACTGAAAACATTTCTCTTTGTTTGGCGAATAGAGTTTATGCATCCTGTGTGCCTGTTACCATAGTAACGTTTCCCCCAGAGCTAACCTGGTCAGATGGAGGTTTTCCTCAATAAACTCAGTGTCCTCTGTCTCTGCCCTCCTTAAAGACTATCATGTTGTTTTATTTCCTGATTTTGTGAACAATAAAAAAAATTAATAATTGACTAGGTCTGTCACACACCTTAAAACATGAGTGACACTAAATTAGCAGATAATTAAATATTATTAGGGAGAGGGTTCTCAGACCGCGTATAGATATCATTTATATCCAGAAAGTTATATTTATGAGCACTATCGTTTCACCTGACAATCCATCTCATACATCCAGACTTTATCTATTTATCTATTCCAGACCTCATATTTGGAGCATTACACAGACTTAATTCACATGGATTTAACACAACATGGCATCTATGAGAGCATATTGATGTGATAAAAGCATTATAGAAAACAACTACACAGTCAAGCAGCCATTTAGTATTTACTGTGTAACATAAGACAAATTCAAAATCAGGATTTACATGAGTTGATACACAGGTCCTACCTGTTTCAACAGTTTTTATACTTGATCTTTATCAGCTGAAAGGTGATTGCACCTAAACAGAATACTACCGTTCAAGCAATAAACTTGTTTTCTCTGGAATATTATTGTGATTACAATAGCCTTTGGCTGGACGTTTTGATATATATTAGTTTGACTGAATATGGATTTCTGATATCTAAAAAAATATTTTTTTCCTCGTCAAAATTACCATTTCAAAATTGCATTGAGCTGATAAATGTCAAAACATTTGTGGCTATATAAAACTTAATTCTTACTGGTACAATTTAGTTTTTTAACTTTGTAAAATGGCTTTTAACGGTTAAAACGGCTTGCCATAGTGCACTTCATATAAACTTGCACATTAACTCGAGCAACAATGTTCTTCGCCATCTTCCTCTGCAGCTGTAGCGTTGTTTTTCTTTCTAAGACAAAATTCTTTTTTTTTTTTTCTGCATTACAGTAAAAGTCTCTAGTTCCAGTGGTTTGAAATAGGCATTTCCTGGTTTCTGTTGTCATGGTGACTCGTTGAATCGGGGCTCCACTGATAATGGCTTTTCATACTTGTTACGCATGTGTTCATCTCTGAATAGACCCACTTAGAGTTGATTAACTAACAGCAGCCTTTGGGAAACTGAAAACTGAATTGATCTAGCCTAAGGTTGGAAACTCTGAGTTGAGGATTTGAGTTTTAGTTTGTTAAACTGACTGTGTTCTCTCTCACTATCCAGCTGCATGCATGAACTGGTGACTTATTCTTAAAGTAAAATTTCAATGCCTGACTGACACTAAAAAACATCACTGTCCGCACTGGAGAGTGCTTCCAGTATGGTGTGTTTACAGATAGGAAAAAGGTTTACACCTTTGAGTTTCCATCTGACCATCATCATTCAAGGCTAATAAAGCTGAAAAAAATGTAATAATTATTGAAATTGAACTGTATAACTATAATGAATCTGCTACAAATACAGATGAAAACTTCTGCTAGAGCCCATCATTGAATTTTTAGTCTCTGGATGCAGTCAGGCCAGATAAGTTGGATGCCTGGAATTTTAAATCGTGGGTAATTAAACTTGAGTTTTCACTGCCACAGTTTTGGCCCCGTGGTTCTGTTTTCACCAGATTAAACCATTTCCGGCCCTATCCTTCCACTAATGCACATTTAGCAGTTTTTACTTGCATGCTTCATGCCTTTTGCCTCCCATGTTTTCCTGTGAAACGTTTATCTGTTTCCTGCAGTGGGAAGTGCCGAATCCCTGCATGGTGTGATAGGATTCTTTGGAGGGGCAGCAACGTCCAGCAGCTTAAATACAGAAGTCACATGGAAATGAGAACCAGTGACCATAAGCCTGTCAGCTCACTCTTCAAAATTGGGGTAAGAGGTCCAGTAGAAGATATTTGTTTAACAACTTAAAACAATGATCTTAAACTCCAGTCCCAGAAGGCCATTGATCTGCAGCTTTTAGACGTTTCACTGTTTCATATTAGCTCTGTAGCAGAGCTCTGTAGAGCTTGACTGCAGGTTAATGAAACAATTTGGCCGTTTGATTCAGGTTTGTTGGTCTAGGGGAAATCTGAAAGTTACAGGGAACTGGCTCCCAATAATTTGCTGTTTGAAACCATCACCTTAAAAGAAGGGATAGTCAAACTTTTAGAGGTATAAAAGTAATTGCTAGTTAAGATCAGAAGACCAGGAGAAGATTATTAGCAAATATGTTTTTGTATAGCTTCCAAACAAAAGAAACTGTCCCTAATGCTTACTGTTGCTTTATTGTGTGTCCTCCAGCATCTCTAACAATGTAGTCAATAATTTTTTAATATAAGCCACACAGCAAATGTAATTTTAACATCCGCTACAGTACATGACAGCCTAGTAATAAAGGTTTTTTGCTACGTGCAAAATTTGGGAAATAAATTATTTATATTTTTTTTCCATTAGATTTTTTTAAATATAATTTTATTGCTTCGCAACGATATAAAAATTTAAGTACTATTATCTGCATTGCTATGCATATAATTCAAGGCAACAGCTGATGATGCATCATGACCAAACAGAGGGTCCAGTTAACAGTCTGATATAGCTCAGTCTATTCAGCTTTCAAAAACTGATGTCTTTAACCTTTAGCTTTTCTTTTGCAACGGGCTTATTTTGCACGATGGTTAGCCGGCGAATGAGCAGCAAACGCATAATCTGGTTTGTATCCTAACTTACAAAACTGGTTTGTAAGATTTTTAAAAATAGCTTTACTGAAGCAGTTTTAAATTATGTATTTTATTAAGTTAAAATTTGTTTATTTTAGGTCTGGTTCAAAATTTGTTTTAACAAGTGTACAAAACTTGCTGATTTTGGATATATATTTAAAACCCAAAGGCAAAAAAGCTTTGCTCTCTTTTTCAACTGTCACTGATTTTCTTACCTTAGCAGCTCTCTGTTTTGTTTATGACAAATGGAAACTGAAGTATTTATTACTTTCATTGTTTTGTTATTGAGCAAGTACACATTTTGTTTCATATGGATGTAAAGGAAAAAAAAACAAACCCTAAGAGACAAAATCTCTTCAGATATATACTCAAAGTTGCTGTTGACTTACTCCAATTCATCACATTAACAAACCATTTTCTATAATAGTATTATGAATATATTCCTTTTGTTTTTCACATTGATGCTTTTTTTCTCTGTCCATCCATTAACAGGTTTTACAAAGCTTCTTCAATGCTAACTTTCTCTAAAGTGCAAATACGTTATTTTCCGGGACTATAATCTGCTGTTTCTTTCCCCACACTTTAAACTATGGGGCTTATAAGAAGTGAATTTCTCCTAACCCGCTAGAGGGGGAAGTCAAAGTTGGAACTGAAAGAATAACGGGCTAATTTTCATGTAGCACAAGAACATGCTAGCAGCAGGCAGAAAGGAGAACAAATGTCCCAAATTCACACATTTTGACATTTGTTTGCCTCATTAAAGCTGCCGAACCAATGAAGAGACTGGGCTCAACTCCTACAGAGCTGAAATAAAGAGTTGATGAAGCCCCATCTTTCATTAGAAGCTCTTACTCCTCTGAGCTAACAGGAGCTAGCATTCTCCTCAATCTTAAATTGAGAAAGCTTTCTGGATGGGAAGTGAAATGTCTTCAAACTTGGAAAACAAGTCCAGTGGTTTGTTTTTTTTAAAACTTTTTATGGTATTCTTCTTCATCCTGATGCGGCTTATATACAAGTTTCCAGTTTTAAAAACAAAAACGTATTGGGCACGGCTTATGGTGAGGTGCGCTCTATAGTGCACTACAGTAATTATATTTCTGAAGGACCTTATGTCTAGGCATGCATTGCAACAAAATTTCTTCAGCAAGTGTGCATTTCACTCTGCTGAGGATCTGTGCAAAGGGAAATGTTCTCAAATGTGCAATGCTAGGCTAATGTTAGCTCTCTTTCTCTATGTTTTAATATGCTTTAAAAAGCAGATTGACAAGCAAAGATATATCAGCATAGTCATTCATTTGCTTTTTATTTATGTCAGAGGGGTGGACTGTATCTGGATGTCACTACCTGATCTGTGTCATTAGCTCATTCACATATGTGCATCTGCTTTATGGATGAGGACAGAAATGACAAATGTCTCTCCCTAATTATACAAACAATACTATATTGTGTAAAACGATAATAATTACTCTGCTGAAAAAATGTTTTTTTTTAATTTTCTTTGTTATATGACTCATCTGTACCCGATCTGTCCCTGAGATTACTTCCAGCTGTGCATTTTTTGTCTCTTGATGTGTAGAACAACTGTATATTCATTTATTTTTTCTATTTTTCAACTCTGCATTTCATCACACCTGTATTGCAATATTGTGCATAATCTAAAGACTGACATAACTAAATTACAGATAAAGATGGTGATGCAATATGAAGGGAAACATGTACAGGAATCCATTTACTCAGCAAAATCTTTTATATTTCATATGATATGGTTAACTATGCTTTAATAATCAAAGATTAAAAAAAGGGACCTCTGATGCCGTAATCATTTACCGGTAACCTAAATGCCTAAATGAGATGATGGTTCAGATCAGGTGGTAAAACTGGACTCGTTCACTGTCTGGTCAAGACTGTTGTCAAACTCTGAGAATGAAGAATTTCTTAAAGAGCTATTAATGTTTAGCTATTTTATTGTGCCTTTGGAAATGTATTATATGTTAATTAATGTTGATGTCTGTCTGTTTGTGTAACAGGTGAAAGTTGTTGATGAGAATCGCCAAAAAAAGGTGTTTGAGGCCATTGTTCGAGACATGGATCGATTGGAAAACGACTGCCTTCCCTCGGTCTCTCTGAGCAGGTTCGAGGTAATCACTAAATATTCCTCCGACTGGCTTTTAATATTTTATGAATCGCCATTAAAGGTGGCAAAGAATCCAAATATAATCCTCAGTAAAGCTGAGATTCACATTTTTGCTTTGTTTGCCCTCTTTGTCTTGTAGTTTACGTTTAAAGATGTTAAATTCCGGCAGCTTCAGAAGGAGCGCTTCGTTATTACAAACGATGGGCAGGTTCCCTGTCACTTTGCCTTCATCCCCAAACCAAATGATCCAAACTATTGCAAGCCGTGGCTGCGTGCAGAGCCAAACGAAGGATTCCTGGAGCCAAGTAAGCCAGAATGAGAATTAGTTTCCTTCTAATTGATGTAGCTCTTTTTTGTGTGAGAAGCAAACAAAAGCAAAGACCAGACGACTATAATCCTCCAGCCACACTTCACACGTTTCCTTAGAAAAATAAGCATTTCATCTGATTATTTTCTCCTCTTTGAACAGGTGAGGTGCTGGAAATCTATCTGGAGGTGTACGTCAGTAAAGACTCGGTCACCCTGCTTAACTCTGGACAAGACACTATTTACGACATACTGGTGCTCCACTTGGACCGCGGCAAAGACTACTTCATCACCATTTCCGGGAACTACCTGTCCAGCTGTTTTGGCACTTCGCTTGAGACTTTGTGTCGCATAAAGAAGCCGGTCAGAGAGGTCGAGAATCTCATCGACCTGGTAAGAAAAATAGAATGAGTAGGACGCTGTAACACTGATAAAAAAAAAACTAAAAAAAACTGCTGGTTTGTCTAACATTACAGATTTGGTTGGAGCATTTTTTTTTTCTTTAGTTGAGATCTAATCAGAAAGCTGTGACCTGCTCTCACTCTGCTTCCTGAGAGCAGCATGTGAACATGTGAGGGCTTATTCTTTCCTCAGGGTGAACACAGTCACAAATCGCTCTATATTTGGAAGGCATAAACTGTCTCAGCTTGTATATTTCTGTGTGGGGCGGAGTGAACAAGGAAGTAGCAGAAACGTTGGACTGGACCGCCGGAAAAACACGGAATATTTGACTCGGTTTAGACCTTCTGAAGTCTGTGTCATACTAAGAGTTTCTGGTCTTCCCATAATCACCTCTTTCTGCTCTCAGTATATTTTCCACCTTATCTGATCAAACTTTGGAATAAACAGGTGCCGTCACTCCTGTTTTTCCACTTCAACCATTTGATTTCCCTACTTGACTGATAATATAAACATATTTATGGAAGATCATAACGTTTTCTTCAGGGTTTTCTGCTTTTATTCATCTTTTTCCTCTGTTTTTCTCTACATTTCTTTCTCCTCTTGCTCCTTTCTCTGCTGTGGTTGTGGGCTGACTTCTTTCTAAGGGAGAGGACAGCGATACGGAAAAGGTAAATCATTTACAGAAACCAGTTTATCAGGCACAATGAGGTCAGCCTCGTCCAAGATTAGAGTCTGTCATCATTTTTCTTCTTGACAAATTATCGACCCTCATTCATCCTCCTCGTAGCAGAAAATCAGTCATGTCAGGAAATGACATCAATAAAGACACAGATTAAAGGCTGCATAAATTCTTTGGCAAGAACGTCATTCATTTTGTGCTTTCTTTCTTTTGAATTAAATGCTTTTTTTTGTTTTCCATACAGGGTTAGATATTTATACGTTTAAATCAAACCCTCATTTATATAATCAAAATTGCCTATGCATCTTTTAGTTGCCTATAATTATTTAACCCTATTAATAAATGTTTAAATTAGGGCTGAAATAATTAATCAGATCATTATTATTCAATTATTGAAACAATCGTCAGCTAATTTAGTAAACGATTAATCGTTAACTGGAGTCTAGAGACTGTAAAACATACCTTTAGCTGAGAGAGCGACCCACTTAGAGCAGTAACTATAGCAAAATTGTGAAACAAAATATAAACTTTTTTTATTTATGATTAAAAAAGCTTTTTTGTCCGTCAATGTGTTCTATCCAGAACTCCTCAAGTGGAAAAGTTTAGTTTCCCTTGGTTTAATTTCATTAATAAAAAAAAAAATCTTATTTGGGGAACCTTTGGCTATCTGATTATTAATCGATTTATCGATTCGCAAAATAATTGCTAGTTTAAACAAATAATAGATTCTTTGTTTTTTTTGTTTTTCTCTCAGACTGCAAATATAGAATGGATTTAAATCTGCAGATAAATACAAACATCCATAAAAAAAAAAAAAAAAAAAAAAAACAATTCTCTTGCTTTTCTACTATTTTTATTTTTTGAGTTTTATTACCTTTTGGATTAAGTTCAAGATGCTGATGACTTCACCTAAACTATTTAAGTAGTAAGTACAAAACTCTCATGGCATTTAAAGTGCAGAAATATATTTGGCATGTCTGCTTAGATATTAGATCAGCTCAGTTCCTTCTGTTGCACAGGCACTGGGTACACACAAAAAAACCAATTATTTCTGTGCACAAAGCTGCAGGAAAACAACAAAATGGAAGCTTCAATTTATTTAACAACTTGCAGTTCATCAATTTAGCTATTAATTTAATTTCTTGTTAATTTGCAATCCTACCTTGAACTATTTGCTATGGTTACATATTTTATAGTTTATTAATCATTTGTATTTGACCCGGTATTCTTATTATTTTGTCATTTTAGGCATGATGAGTAACATATGAGTAATTTGTTTTTAGAAATAATTTTTTAGAGACTGGGTCCAGTCCAGATTCTATAGCTTCTGAAATATCATGTTGTCTAGAGAAGATAAGGATCCCCTTCTGTTCAGAGCAGGATTTATAATTTCAAAGCCCTTTCCCTGCCTTAGCGCTCAGATTAAAGGAATTTAAAGAATCAATCTTAAATTGCTGTAGAAACATATGTGCTTCATTCAATCATCCTTATTGTCCTCTCCTTTTTTTTCTTTCCTTCACATAGCTGTGCTTGCTTTTGGAGATCTAGCCTAATGAAAAGGCTCGCCTGCAGTTATCTAGCTTTTGGAGACGATCTTTCTCCTCCACTAATAAATAAACATACCATTTCTTATGCGAAATTCATGATCTAATTTTCACAGAAAAATTGCTCTAAACTTGTATTTTAAGAACAGAAATGAAGGTGTTCTTGATTTGATTTTGTTGTATTTCAGGAAAATTGCATGAACTTTCTGCTGGTGGATGGAGGAAGTCCTGAGGATAAACCTCTGAAGATTCCTAAGGAGGTTTGGATCCTGGTTAACCACCTTTTCACCAAATCCTGCGATCAGGTGAGAAGGCTCATAGAAATTATGAAATACAGTATTTTAATTTTTTTTTTTTTTTTTTTTTTTATTGTCTTTGTTGTTTTCTATTAATAATCCTAAAAGACAATGTTTTCTTCACAGTCGCTGGAAAAAAAGAATCACTTTTTTTTTCTTTTTTCTTTTTTTATAATTTTTTTCTTTTTTATTTATTTTTCTTTTTATAATTTTTAAAAATTTTATTATTATTATTTATTTTTATTAATTTACTTTTTTAAAGAATTGCTTTAAGACCACAAAAATAAAACGTGCAATAACTGATGTAAACTTCAAAAAAAAATTTATGTGGGCAAACAAAAACACCAACATCAGATCATTTATTATTTCAGTCTTTATTAATTTGAAATTGGGGTTTTCCAACATAAGTTGTTTCTCTCTATAGGAAATGAAGCATCAACAATATAATGCATATTTTTTCAGTTACTTTGCAGTCTGCCGTTGGATGGGAAAATTGTATAAGTCTGAACAAATATGGAGAAAAACGAAGCACAGAAAGATATTTTCATTTCTATGCTTTGCTCTCCATGCAACAGTCAAATCTTTCCTTCCTTTCTCCCTTGTGTGTTTTGTCGTTTTCTTCTTTCTATCCATTCTCTCCAAATTTAAAGATCCGTTACCTTCAGGAGATCCAGTCTAGAAAATTAAAGAAATTTAAAATATAAGGGTGTAGGAACCATATTAGGTCTATCCTTTAAAGTTAATAAATTGGTTACACACAGAACTAGAGCTGGTGGATCCGGCTTAAAAATAATTTCATACTGAATTTTATATATATTTTTTTCATTTTAGTTTAATGTTAGAAAATGAGAAATGAGAGAAATTACTTTTATTTCAGTTGTGCTTCATCCTGGGAGTTGACCAGGATTCTCGGTGTGATCAAAGCTGTGAAAAAAGTGGGCAGGCATTGGCTTTTTTTTCAACAACAAAAATATGGCATGAGTTTGTTGGCAGCCAGTGTTATTACACAGTCAGAAAGTTTATTAGTAATGAGTAGAGATCTAAGAACAAAAAGTGGTAAACTGATAAACTTCTGAACTATAGAAGCCCTAGGAGTTGATTGTAAAAAACATCATTTTACAAAGATTAAAGCAGAATATATTTTGAATTCAGCACAATATTTTATTTCCAGCCCTACGTAGAACCATCACGAAACAGATTTCGAATATAGGAATTTTACACATGAGGTCATAAATATAGTATTCATTTGGTTCCAAAATTGTTTTAATTTGTTAAATTATACAATTTAACAAAACAAAGATTTTGACACAGATGAAGCCAAATTGGATGAAATGTTTTCCAAAAAGAAGTTGTTAAAGAAGCAAATGGCACAGTTGTGTTACCCATCAAAATGGAAGGAATCCTCTAATAAAGCAGTTTGCTGTAATGTGCTGGGTTTTGCTGTCTTCGCACACTGTCCAAAATGAAAGTTAGAAGGCATTAACCTCTTAACGTCGCCGGCGACCCGGTGGGTTTTAAGAAGTTTTAATAGAAACTGCAAAAAGCTTCATCTCCCAGGTGTCTGTTCGCAAGTTAAGATAATTGATCCTTAACCTTTTGTGATTGTTCTTGAAGGAACACTTTAGGAGATCTTAGCACAGCAAAGTAAAACGGCATCTTCCTCCAAAAATCACTATGGATATCACACTTAATTTCCAAATTTAATGTCGTGGCTTATGGCATAGCAATTCAAAATGAGCAGGAAAGATGCACTCACGATTACTTCAAGCCAGACAGCTACAAATATAGCCAATAGGTTGACTGAAGACATTAACAAATGGGGGCTGACCAGCAAACACCCTGTAGTTAAAGACAATGCTGCAAATGAAATGTGATTTGTGCAGAGAAGATAATGCAGCTCATGCATGTCTGAGTGAGTGAGGCTTCACTTTTCACAAACAAGTTTGCATTTATGAGACAGTTTTGTTCACATATTAAGTTTAAACTGTCTGATTTACAACTTTGCACTTTGTGTTTAATATGACAGGAAAAAATAAAATACATGAGTATTTTGAAACACAGTTGAACCACTTTAATTATTGCAAAAACATATGGAATCGAAATTAATCGATTTAGAACTTTATTAATCAAAATCTAATCGATTCAGGACTTTGGCGAAAATACCCAGCCATAGGGGTGAGATCACTTCATTCTTCCCAAGATTACTTTATTTCCCTAATAAATAAATAAAATAATTTGCAAGATTACAGTTATTTTATGAAATATGGATCATGTAAAAAAAAAAAAAAAGGGCAAAGGAAACTTTGAGTTGTTAACAGTGAGTGTTTATCTGTGATGGGATCTGGGTCTCATGAGATCAGTGGAAGTGATGACTTGTATTTCTTTTAAGTGGGTTTTAAATTCTTATGCCAAGGTCACTGATTTGAAGAAGTATTGAGCTGAGTTTAAGATTAAATATGTTTTTGATTCACAATATAAATCGAGTTTTCTTATTGTAAAGTGATCTGTGATCTCAGATGGTAATATATCTAAAGTATTTGAGCTTTTGTATTCCTACCTTGTCCCCCAGGAGGACTTGTTCCAGACCCCAGGTCTACAGGAGGAGCTCCAGAGCATCATTGATTGTCTGGACACCAGCATCCCAGAGTATTTGCGTATCCTTCAACACTCAAGCAGTCCCACTCGATATTATTTTATCAAATCCATTTCGTTCATTTCTGATAAAATTGCAATATCCAGTCTAACCCCATCATATACTCAAAATATATATATACAACCTGGTGCCTATTAAGTTCTATTTATCGTGGTGTCTTTGTTTCCTCAGGCTTTTTAGGATGATTATCATGTCATACTATGAAATTTGCTGACATTTAGGTTGATCAAAATAAAAATAGGGGCTAAAACTTGACCGCCATGCAGCTGTCTTTAGTCACTGTGATTTAGACATACTTTGATCTGGGACAGCTGCAGAATGGTGACTGTGGTTCTGATATAACATGAGGCTGTTTCATCCAGCCTCAGGCAGATGTGGGCACCATTTCTGCAGGTGGTGGGCTTTACTCTCTGAATAGAATTGGTATATTTGGTTCCAGAACAGGTGGCATCAAGAAGGGAAATATAGCTCAAAGAATATAGCAACAAGGTCAATGCACGAGTTTAATTTGATAGAGAATTAAGGTCTTTAATTGAAAATAAATATATTCCTCAACATTATACTTATTTATTATAAAAAAGTGTTTGAGTAAAATACGCGTTTAAGTGTAACTTGGCATGTGAAAAGAAAATAATTTAAAAAAGCTGTCTGAAAAGTGTTTGAAAATATAATTGAATAAATACTAAGACATTTGTGTAAAGTACGTGAAGAGAAAATTATATTATAGACACCAAAACACCTATTGGGATTTGATTTGAACAGAGTAAACTGACATAGATAATTTATTGATCCATAGATTGGGATTGATTTCATGTACACGTGTGCTGCATAGTAACAGTTTAATGCTCTATCCCTGTAGCCTGAGCAATCAGACCACCTGCATGAGTCATAAGTCAGTTTAGCATAATCTGATTGGTCTTATGAACTCTATACACTGTGTAAATCAAACTGGCTGGTCAGGCTAACATTCCTGACCATTTGCCATCAACATTAAAAGCTAAGTGCAGCACAGAGAACTTGCCCATGTTGTCTCATATGCTCCTCCGAGCTCCTCCAGAAAAGGAAACACCATTCCTAACACTTAAATTGTGCCAGGTCTCAGCTCCTAGTGCCACAGATTTATCCCCCTTCAGAAATATGATCCCAAAGTACTTCTAGACAGCATTGAGGGAAATTGCTGAAACTGAAGTTGGAGAAGACATTATATTATTGCATATCATTTCAGCACTGTAAAATGAACCTCCCATGTTTTTAAGAGGCAAGGTTATAATTTGCTGAAAGAAAAACTGACAGTAGAAAACAAAACATGGTTCACTAATAAAACACCTACAGCATACTGTACCAACAAGGCGATTTTCAACTCTGAAGAGAGAGACTTCTACGACAAAAAGAAATGAGTCTGATTCTTTTGTGTCCGTTACCTTCTGAGGCACAAGATAAAACAAAACTGATATAAATATGTAACTGGATCTTTTAACAGCAGCACAGCTATGGCACAGTTCCTGCTGTGGTTTATATTTGTATAACATGTTTACAAGTTAGAACTTTTTATTGTTGTCCCAAATTGACATCTTTTGTTAAAACTTTATGAAAATGCTGATTAATGTTGAATTATTAATCTATTACCAGTTCCAGCTCCAATTTGAAACTTATAACTAATTTTTTATCTAAATTATAGATCATTATAAGAATTTTGATTTATAAATAATCTAAATTGTGCCTAATCATTACTAAAATGTTAAAACTTAGCATGGAGACTACGTGTGGGCTGAACCTTTTTTTATTAATTTTTTTCTTGGTGCAAACACAATAGATCTCCATTAGACTCCATAAATGTTGGTTCTTTCTTAACTTCTCACCCAGCTGGTTGTAACCACTCTGTAGCTGAAGCTCTGCTGATATTTCTGGAGGCTTTGCCGGAGCCGGTGGTGTGTTATGAACTGTACCAGCGGTGCCTTGACAGCTCTCATGACAGCCGCCTCTGCAAGCAGGTACAGAGATGCCAGGTCTTCTGTTTCTGTGGTCATCCAGCAAAATATGAACAATCCTCTTAATGACGAAGCTCTGTCTCTGTTCACAGCTGATCTCCCAGCTGCCCCGTGCTCATCGGAACGTGTTTCGCTACTTGGTTTCTTTTCTTAAAGAACTGCTAAGGCACTCAAACAACAACAACCTAACAGCTAGCCTCATAGGTAAGAGAGAGCGGCTTCTGTCTGATCATAACTACCATACTGAATTTGAATTTATTCAGTGTGTTTAGTGGAAAAAATGAACTAAAAGAACTGGAACAAAGGTGAAAATTAGCTATTAAATGATAATGAACAATTTATGAATTGAAGAAATTTAAGAGAATCTGAACAAATAAAACGAATGAGTGAATGAATAGGAATTTATTTCAGACTCTTTGACAAACACCAATAAATTAATCAAGCAAATACACACAAAACAGACCAGTTAACATCAACCAATCCAAACCAATTTCCAAATTAACTAAATTCACTTGAAAATAGAGACAAAACCCCCAAACAAAAAAACTTGTCTGCATATACAGGCAGAGAAATGACATCGATTAATAAAGAAAGAATAGTGTCAACTTAAATGCATAAACCAAATAAATCAAAAGGAACAAAATAAATCGTAATAAATACCAATGAATAATCAAAACTAGTATGAACTGCTAATGATAATTAAAAAAGATGCTTACAAAATATGCAAGTACATCAGGATGAATTAAAATGAATGAGTCACCCAGCTGACAAGAATGCAGGAATAAACTATTGAATAAATGAGTGAAATAAAACCAATATACTATATTATGCAACAGCAGGGAAATTAATATGGAGCAAAGTAAGGAATATAAGATATGACAACAGGGTGCATTTATTAAAAATAGGATATTAAAACGAAAGAACTGCAACTGAGTAGGGTAATATTACATCAAATATACAATAAAACTGTTTCTGCATTAAAACAGCAGTACATTAATTAATTTATTAGTTTGTTGCCATTAGTGATGTTATAACTTATAAAAGAAGTAGGAAGGATCTGCAGAATGCTCCCTCGTGCAGCTATGGTGAAGCCATCTGTCATTAAAGGAACTCTCCAGCTCTGCCACAGCTCCCTGCATTTGATGGGAAACACTGTCTAAAAGTCAAGCTATATTTGCCAGCTTTTTGTCTCCCACAGTAGGTCCAGGGGTGGAGTTTATATTTTTATTGGCTTACCTAACCTATTGATGTCAATAAAAAAGACGACTGATGCCACGAGTCAAAAAGGTCTTTAGGATTAAATGACCAAGAACAAACAAAAATAACAACATGGAGAAACAAAGGAAATGTACCGTGTGTTGAGGTGAATAAAAGTAATTAGAGTAACATTTCAATGGGGAAAAGAAAAATACAGAGGTTTAGTGAAAAATTGAATTGAACAAAAGCATAAGTGAAAAGCGTGAATAAATGTGAATGAGGGGAAAGCTACCCAAGAAAAAAAAATCAATAGAATAAACACATGACTGAGTTTAAAGGATCAAATATGAACCAATAATGAAATGATTTATTCATAGGTGAGAATTAAATGAATTAATGAATCAGAGCTTGCAGGAATTTATGTAATCAAATGAGCATTGAGTATAAATAAAAATACATGAGAAAAATATTCACGCAAACAATAATTCATGTCATGCAATGAATAAATGTGAACCGACAGTCATGGTTTTTGGATCTTGTGTTTCTAGCTACCCTCTTTGCCAGCCTCCTCATCCGACCGCCGCCTAACGTGGCCAGCAGGCAGTCGAGTCAAGACCGACAGAAAGCCATCAACTTCATCCTTGGTTTCCTCATGTCTGGAGACGAGGACTAACAGGGGAGTCCACATGGCGGAGGGCTGGCTTTGGTGTTTATGCTCACCTCTGCTTCTTCAGTGCAATTATCCCAGACATGCTTTTTAATTCTGTCATCCGTCAGAGACCTGAGCGCTCTCGCTGCACCTTACCTTCCACCATCCTAGTTATTAGAGGCGTCAGGGACGTCCCAGATTTTTAGCAACTATCATGTCTTCTTTTCACACACGCTGATGCCCCGTTAAAAGATCTGGATGGATAGAGATGGACTGATGCTATGCACTTTGCATTCACTTAAGGAAGTATTCCCTCAGAAGAGACTGTTTTTTTTTTTTTGAAGGTGCTCATGCCAAAACCAGTGAGTGGAGTGAATATGGAAACACTGTGTGTGTGTGTGTATATATCTAGAAAGACTCACACTAAAGACAGGAATGCCACTTCCTGAAGTGGTAGAAGTTAAATACTGCTTTTGTAAGCATACTGATGTGTCATGTCTTTTGAAACGACTCATTTACTAAGAATGATTATGCTTAAGATGAGTAATGACAATCATATGTTGCGTTTTAGCTGAGGAGACAATAGAATTTATTGGCTAACATCTGTTGTATTTTAACTGTTATTTATATATTTGTTCCACAGAGTTTTGCACCATTTAAACTTTCTCTTTTTTTTGTCTAGTTTTATTTACTTGTGTGCCGGTATTACAGAAAGCATGAGGTTTTGCTTTGTTTTTCTGTAAGCACAGCTGTCCTCATTACCTTCAGTTCTGTATTTACAGAGGTTTATTACACTAAATTCTTGCCCTTTGAGGCTCCAGGCGTCTCACAAATGTGTAAATAGTGAAAGTTTTGTGTTTCATGAATGTCTGACAGTCTGGCGGTGAGATTCTGTGATGTTGTCTCTTGTGAGCCATGAGAGTGGTACTGTTTAGATCCATGTTTGTTTACATGTGTCCCCCCGCACGTCTAAAACTGTAGTCGTATTGAGTGTTTGCCGTGTGATGCTCTCCTTAGTGCTGCATAGTTTTCTTGGAGCACATCTACCAAGATTTAATGATTCATTGCTCTATATTTTTGTACTCTTGTCTCAGCTGTGCCACTGAGTTTTTTTTTTTTTTTTTTATCTTTTCCTTTTTCCGGTTTCCTGTCTTGCAAAACATTATAGAAATAAGGAAACTTTGCGCCCCCATGTTTTTTTTTTTTTAGCGTTTCCTTTCCAACGGTTTCTATCCGCTCAAGTCGGCTACAGTTTTCACAACCATCACCCTTCAATCGGTGTCTTGTGTAACTTTACTGAAACTAGAAAGACCCAGTAAGATGTTGCAGGAAAACTAAACATATGAAGCTACTTGGAGATGATGTGAACACACTAGGGTGAAAATGCTGACTTAAATTAGAAAAAAAAACTATTGTGACTTTTGCCAAATTATGGTTTGTGTTTGGGGAAAGACAAACTGTTTACCCTTTCTGTAGAAAGACGGTTTTCATCGCAAACAAAACATGATCAGATATCTCAAATTTCTAGATATAACTGATGTTAATCTCCTTTTTATTTCTTTTATTTCCTAGGTTTAAGGTACGTTTAACAGCTACTTAAATATTTTGGGTACTTTTTAATTTATTTAAAAGGAATAAAACTACATGAAAAGTTGTTATTGTCATGTATTTTCTTTTGACCTCAAGGAACTTAAAAAAATGATCATTCACTTTAACGTTGGCTCTTAAAACTTAGCATAATAGCCTTGTATTATACTACAGTCAAAATATCTTTAAAGAAGCCAGGACCATTTGAAAAATTCATTTATTTCCTGCATAATCTCATTGAAGAACTTAGTTTTTTTTGCCAGAACTGTGGATGCAGATTAAAACATTTTATTAGTTGATGGACAGCTTATAGCTGCAGTTTACATAACTATTATATAATTCCTAACAGGAAAAGTTATTTATGAATAACATTCACATTTGCAATGTGATCTTTACAAATGTGAAAGATTGTCCATTTATTTATGCATAATGTGTAAAGATCCATGAATTGATGAATGATTTATCTGTGTCATTGCTAAAGTGAGGGCAGGAATTTCTGTAACGTCTTTCAGAGATGTGTGGTTTTCTTCTAAACCTTTGTCGCTCAAGTTACCATTTTTGGTGTCTTGACATTAACAGCATTTATCAGCAAATAAGGCAAAATTGGGATGTAAAATGTTGTATATAGGAGCTGCAAGGTTCACCTCTGTATTAAGAGGTCCTCATGGACCGGTGCCGACATATCAGTGCTTCAGGCTGGGCCAAACCAGCCCCCCCAAGGAAAAACCCAACCACCAGGTGCAAGGCAACTAACCCCAGGCCTAGCTCCAGGGTGGGGTCTTGGCTCCACCATACCAGGCAAAATTATGTGCCTTGACTTTGTCATTGCAGGGGCTTTTTGAGCCACCCCTTGTCTTACCCATCACCCAGAGCCTGTTTGTGTGGGAGACCCTACCAGGAGTATTTAAGCCAATGAGAACATAGCCTCTGGGATCATCCAGGCACTGAAACACCTCAACCATATTGTGGTGGAGGTAGCAGTTCAAGAGAGGGTTTAGAGAGGGTTGGGCGTCGGGCAGAGGCTTCGATGACTTGATCCATAGATAAAAGTTTGCCTCTAGGGGGCTAGAAACCTGAGCTTGTGCAGGAGGTGCAGCAATTCTGACTAGAAATAGTCGGACTTGCCTCCCCACATAGCATGGGCTCTGGAACCCAGCGCATTGAGAGGCTGGACTCTCTTCTACTCTGCAGTGGCCAAGCAGGGAGAGACGGAGGGTGGGGCTGGGTCTGCTTGTCTCCCCCCAACTCCACCGTCTCATATTTGAGTTTACACCGGTGGATGAGAAGGTTGCATCCCTTCGCTTTCGGGAGGGAGGTCTCTGACTTGTTTCAGCCTACGGACCAAATGCCAGTTCATAGTACAAGTTCTTTTCAGTGTTCCTAGGGGTGACGCTTAGGGAGGAGCAGTGTGGTTTTCCTCCCGTCTGTGGAAATGTGCAGGCTACTTGAGGGTTCAAGAGAGTTTGCCCAACCAGTCCTCTGTCACCAGTCCTGTTCACAACCTTATGTACAGGATTTCTAGGCATAACCAAGGGCCAGAGGGTCTGGTGTGGGGACAAGTGGATCTCATTCTTGTTTTTTGCTGATGTGGTTCTGCTGGCTCCTTCTGGCCAAGATCTAAAGCAGGCACTGTGGCTTAGGCCATGCTTCTTGACTGCCTTGTATTATTCAGGATGGGGGAGATTTCCTGCCTCGAGTGGAGGAGTGAAGTATGTTGAGGTCCTGTTCATGAGTGTGAGGAGAATAGAGGGGGAGATCCATAGACGGATGAGTGTGGCTGCTGCTATAATGCTTTCCTCTACTCACCTATGGTCATGAAATCTGGATTATGACAGAAAGAACCTGGGAGAGACCCCGGATACAAGCGGCTGAAATGAGCTTCCTCTGCAGGGTTGATGGGCTCTCCCTTAGAGATGGGGTGAAGAGCAAAATATTTCACTGAGTTCCCTATGAACTGTATAAAAATTGAAGTGGGTCTAAAAGTATTGGTGATGCTAGAACTTGGTTTAGAAGCACTCTTATGTCCACCACCTTCTGAACAGCAGCCAGTCCAGCTTATGTTCAACTTATTTTCTTTTCTCATGCTCTTGTCTACTTTGCAAGCTATATAGCTCCTAACCAGCAAACTACAAAAAAAAACTACAAAAAAACGGGCGACTGATCACTTTCCAATCTCTAGTCATGTTCCCATCATGACAGCCACAAAGTTTTTCCTTTTTCCATTTTTCTTATCATCCACCTCTATATGCTTAGAGGTTATGAATGCAGGATGAACGATAACTGCTGTATTGCCTTTAGTTTCCAACAGTTAGGTTATTGCTCTGGTGTTTAAGTTTTTAAAGAGACAGATTATCAGGCAGGGGTAACTAGTTAAAATGCTCCTGTGAAGTCCTAACCAACACCAGCTGAAGCAACCTGCTGAACACATTACAGAATTATAATCCATATAGGCCCCTTAGGTCATTAGAAACCTGCTGACCCATTTTTTTTTTCTTAGACCAGAACTAAACAAAGAAATCATTGTTTAGGTTTATATTTCCATATCAGAGTAAAAGATCTGAGATCTGTTTAAAACTATTTACTTCTTTACCTCGCCACAGAATTTTTTTTACTACAGCTGTCCTATAAATATATACTTCATCAAATGATTCAAATCATGTCTTTGCCACTTACTAATGCTTAAGTTTTCAAATATATACTTATTTTCCCTTTATTTTTGTAATTCATAAAATTCTTCAGTCCTGATCAATTACATATGGTCAACTGAGATTGATGATTGATGAACAATAATATCATTCAAAGTAACTGATAGTTGCTACATTCATTACAGGAAGAGTGGGAAAAAAACTGGTTGATTAAGTGGTTTATTCCTCAGCTAGATGTGAAGTCCTCCCTGGGTGAGGTTCTTGCTATAATTAGTGAGCATCACCTAAACGCCACATTCATATCCCCTGTTATTATAAAACCAAGTCAAGAGCTGCTGACAATATTTGCCAGTTGCTGTTTGAATCTTGAACCGATCAGCAGCCATGGCTATGCTCAGAGTCTCTTCTTATCGCAAGCTGTTTGAGGACGACAGGTGGAGCCCAAATGGAGGAAGGCTGCAGCGTGCAGGACGGTACCGTGCCTCTACCAGGTCAGGGTGCAACACACAGAGATATATATTCTAAATATTACAGTCATTTAATGAGAATGGTCTGTCTGAACTTTTGAATTGACATTTGAATTGAGAAAGCTTCCTGGAGAGGTAGCAAAACGTCTTTAAATCTTGGAAACCAAGTCGAGTGGATAGTTTTTTAAACTTGTACAGAATGACTGTTACCTGGATGACTGAGAATCTTCATCAGCATATATGAATAAACTGAATTGAATTATAGGAATGTATTATACATTCCTATAATTATAATAATAATATCATATATAATGAAAGTAAACACATTTTGTTGTAATAATAAACTTTTACATTGGTATGCAAAGCTTTTTTGCATACCTTTGCAACAAAACCTTTTCTATCAACAAGGTAGGAAGTAAAGATTTTTCTTCTTTGATGCTTAACAGATGCAAAAACAAAAAAAATCTCCAATCCTTCAGCCTTTTTTGTTTGTTTTTCTTGCAGGAGTGAAGCTGTAGAGAAGTGTGGCTGTGATACAATAGACTTCATAGCAGCAAAAGCTCTGAACAGAGAAGGTCTGGACCGGTTTGCACAGGAGCGGACCACCATCGCTGCCCTTAATGACCGGCTGGTCAAACTAATTGAGTTGGTGTGGACAGACACTAACTTCAACAAGTCTACAGCCTTTTATTTTCTTTGCTTTCATGCCTTTTTATTTCTCTGTCCGCTCCTTTCAGGCCCGTTGTTTGGAGGAGGAGAATGACTCACTTGAATGCCAAATCACTGACCTGAAGGACAATCGTAATGGTCAACACATCTCCCCCAGCATCAGCTCCACTTTAGTGAAGCCTGAATACAGTTTGGAAGCAGCTGCAGAAAGACTCTGCAAGCAGAGGGTAGGAGAACATCTGGGTTTGTGTGCAACTGTGCATATATGATGAAACAAAAACATCTCCTACTCCATTGCTTCCATTAACAGTTTGTATACTGCTCAATAGAAATCAGAATACATTTTTGCTTTCACTGTCTTCTGAATGCAGGATGAGATCATTTGTGACACAGAGGAACTGAAAGAAGAACTTAAATCTCTACAAAAAGATTACGAAAAGGCTGCACATCAGCGGCTCCTTGTCCAACAGCGACAACAAGATGTTGCAGAGGTACGGTTCATCCACTGTTTAATCACCCCCCCCCCTTTATTATGAAAGTTTTTTTTTTCTCAGCTTTTGATTTACTGATGCAAATAAAATAAATAAAACTGATAACTTAAGTTATAAAATTAAAAGCTAAAATCCTAAGCTAAATACTTCCAAAGACATTTTGAAAACATAACACCTTCAACATTTATTACTGATACCATTAAAAAAAAATGTTAAAATCCTAATGATGCATTTGGCCCCTAGGGGGCAGTACTGTTAAAGGAATGAGTCTGTGAGTCAGATGGACTCTTGTTCAATCAACCTGTAGTTGTTGATCTGCAACATAACCAACAACTTTCCAACAATCCCACAAGAACCCACCCCCTCCTCACACACGCCTGCAGCTGGACCAGATGTAGGAGAGGCTTTCATTTCTCGCTTACAGATGTCATGCTTTTCATAATATGGTGGCCTAATGTCCCTGCTGGCTCAATTCTTTGGTTCTGAATTGGTTGCAGCTGCAGTGCGACAAGGTTTTAGTTGGGAAATTGGCAGGAAAATAGATGAAGAGCAGAGATGTGGAGGAGATAAGGGAATATTGCACATATTAACCCACTGCAAGCTCTTCTTCTCCCTACCAGAAAAGCAAATTTTCCAGACTACTTATCTTACACCTGTTAAATGCAATGACTTTCAAAGTTTCCAAATATGCACCTCAATTCTTAACATTTACAGCAGGTCCAAATAAACATTATGAGTGAATTGTCAGAGTAGGAAGATTTTGTTTTACATATAAACATTAAAAATATTGTTGTGAAGCAGAGCAGGGTGACTGTAACATATCCACAATGGGTATGATGATTTACACATAGAGTTTTCAGTTGTAGATTCAAGTTTTTTGTATGCATATTTGTCATAAAGCTCTATATATCAAAATAGAAATTTTCCATCTAATATATAGAGCACAGCTCCTGGGCCCTGATGATCAGAGCCTCAACCAAAGGGATCCAATTCAATGCTCTCCATTATAAAGAATCACAGTGCTTTTACGCAGTATAGACATATTTAAAGTTTATGACAGTGGCTGAAGGTCAATATTTAAATAGAAAAAGGCAATGCAGTATAGTGTCACAAAGCTGCGCCCCAAGGGGCTCTACTGCTCTAAAAACAGTCAATTTAAAAGGCCGCCGTTGAATTACTGGCATTATATTTTTAGTGCCACATTCATATTTTCATCTGATGCACCTTCATACTACATTTTGTTAAATGTTGTTAGTAATATTTCTATAAATGTGAATTTCTGACATTATTTCTTATTTTCTCCATCCTGGGACATGTACTCTAAATGTCAAGCAACAACCTCTGTCTATCCTTCTTTTGGCATCACTGTCCAATAGGGTTAATGCCCTGACAAGTAGAAATATTTTGCAAAAATACACAAGAGTTTTTATAGATACGAGTTTCTCACACAGGGACAACAGAAGCGTTTTAAACAGATTTACAGACACAGATGCTCAAACCTTAGTCTCTCAGGTATTTTTTTCACGTGAAAGAAGGTAGAGAATAACTATGGCTAAAGATTGTTTCCATATTCCATCTTCCTAGAGACGGTTCTTATTTATGCCACCAACTCTTGTATGGAAACAGAAATGCAGGCACTGTCTGCGCCTGCACCCAACACTGATTAATCATTAAAGGAAGCATGTGAGCTGAGAACCCCTGCTGGCAGATGTATTGGGCAACAGGGCTTTTGCGTCTAGCTGGTTTCTTTTTTATCTTTTTCCTCTGCAATGCAGTGTCGACATCTTTTGTTAGATACACATGTGATAGTGGTGCAAAAACACTATAGTATGTCAAGAAAACGCAGGTTTAGCATTTTAATAAACTATAGACTCAAACTTATCTCATTCTGTTTGTTTCTGCTTGCTTGATTGCCTCTGCAGGTGGTAGATGCTGTCACAGCAGAGTGCCTGGCGCTGAGGGAGCAAGTGGCAGTCTATGAGGAACAGCTGGCCAATATGGAGGCCCAGCATAAGACGGTGAGAGATCTTTCTGATAAAACGGTAACAGTTTATTGTTGTAAAAAAAAAAATATTTAAAATTGGTTTTGAACCCATCCATCCATCCATCCATCCATCCACCCATCTATCCATCCATCCATCCATCCTTCAGCTACAGCTCTTAGATGGCTCAGTAATTTTCCATATAACCTATTCAGAACCATCTTTTAGGAGAAGTGGTGTCTATTTTAAGTTTCCTCGTTGAGAACTGCAGTTTCCATTTGAGCTTAAAACGCTTAGAAACTTAAACTTTTATATATGTGTTGAGAACTAATTTACACTGTGAAGAGTTTCCTTTGGCTGTAGGGACAAAGACAATACTAATGTTTAAGTAACTTAAAATACACCAGTATCTACTGTTTACTTGTTCCTTTGAAAAACCTCTGAGGTGATCCTTCAAAATGAATGTTTGCAACCATGCCTCATCGCTGCACAGCCCTGCTTTTCTGCACCGTTCAGTTATCCTCCTCCTCACCAGAAGATGACAGACACAGCCCAGCTTCACAGCTGAAGCAGGAGAAACTCCATTGCTCTTTTTTTTTCTCCCCCTGGACCTACCTGCATGACTCACAATGTGGGAAATATGGCTAAAACCCAAATAAAAGAATAAAATTCTTCTTCTTATCGACCGTTAATGTGATGACCCCCATGTGTCCAATTTTAATTTGTTAAATCAGAAGCCATGTCATTTTTCAGCAGAATTTTTTTTTCCCTGTTGCATCTGGATAATTAATGTGCAACTGAATGCATTGAATACTGAAGCAATCAATGCAGAGGTTGAAGATGCTGCAGATGTTTTTCAGCTTCAAAAGGTAAGTGCTGACTTTAAGCCTTAAATTGTAAAAACCACCAGAAGGAATTAAAGAGCTGAAGTAATGTCCAGACATAAACATTTCAAACCATTGTAAAAAAAAAAAAAGGTTATGATTGGAAATAATATGTCATCTTTTTATTTTTTTAGTAATTTTTATTGGTAAATTGATCACATTTTTATAGTGGTGTTCTGGTCCTACTGACTTCACCAAGTGTTACTCCGAAACAGACAAACATGTAGGCAACTTCAGGTTGAGTGCCTTGCCCAGGGGCAAATCAGCATGTGACAGAGGGAAGCTGGAATCAAACCCACAATCTTCTGAATGCACGACTATTCTAACCAGTCATACACAGTTGCCTCTATCTATATAGGTAGAATAAGTCTTGTCACAGTTTTGCTATAAGGTAAACTCCTATTGGCCTGTAGGTGGTGCACTTCATCCGCTATTCTTTCATTCCTTAATAAAAATGGTTGCTGGCCATTTGACAGGTTTGCTTACCTCATTAGGAAACATTGGTAAATTACCTGTACTTATATAGTGTTTTTTTAAATCAGGAGACTTGACCAAGGCTTTTTACACTACATTCAGTCATTCAACCATTCATGCACACACATGGTGGCAAACTACATTGTAGCCACAGCTGCCTTGGGGCTCACTGATAGAAGCGAGGCTACCATACACAGGCACCACCAGGCCCTGTGACTATCATCAATCACTCGGCAATCTGGGTGAAGTGTCTTGCGCAAGGACAGATCTACGTTGAAAACTGGGGCCGGGGCTTGAACCGAAAACCCTTCAGTTGCAGGACAAGCTGCTTCATTCCTTCATAACTTCTTCATGTTGATTAGATATCAATACTTTAATAATTGATGCAAAAGGTAATGATTTCATGTTCAGCTTCTTTCATGGAAAACAAAAATAATTATGACCCACAGAGTTGCAGTTAAAGCTGCTCATCCGATTCAATGACTGTAGACATTGAAACCATCCAGAAGGAAAACGGCAACATCTGCATGGTTTCTTAAATTGGCACTAAAAATCAGAACCTCGATCAATGTTCACCCTTGTTTTGCTTTTTTTTAATTCTGCTTAGAACTGAGAAAGTTAATGCCAAAAGAATCCATTTCTCAGCATCATCACAGCCCTACTATCTGGCAACACCTAGGCTCTATTTCACTTGACTTCAACCTGCTATTCCTGTTTGTTTAGAATTCTTAGTGTTAATGTTACCATTGTAGTTAATATTTATACAATTTGGACCCGTCAACATTTAGAGTTATCCAGAATTTCCCCATTGTGGCACAATAAAGGGATCATTTTCAGTATAATAATACTTCTATGTATATTCTCTGTGCAGGTGATGAAGCAGACTGATGAAGTATTATCAATAGCTCTCTTTTGTCTTTTCTTTCTTTTCTTTTTTGATTTGTCCACATAACATGAATTATTCTCTACATAAACCATAATAAATCCATTTACATGTATATATCAAGCAGAGCACTATGGCAAAAGCGATAATGCTCCACTGAGAGTAAAATATGTTGGGCTCTTTCAGACATTAGGACAACTGTTCCTATTGCCTCATTTCCAGACACGACACACACACACACACGCACATAAAAAATAATACTTTTATTCTTCCCCACATTAGATGTTTATTGTATGTATTATTTTGTAAATGATTATGTTTTGATTAAAAAGTTGTAGCTTTGACCTTTAAATAATTAAAACAAGGTATGATTTTTGTTTTTGCTCCTGTAGTCATAATTATACATTCCTGTTAAGTGTATTATATCTACCGGTACTCAAATGTTAAAACAAATAATATTCATCTTTTGTAAAAATGACAAATGTCTATATCTATATTGTAGCCTATAGTATATTTGATCTATGGTCTATGTAATTTAGAACAGCAGGGTAACAATGGTGAAGCATGGGGCAAAGAGGGGTAGGATAAGTTAATGCTTACACCAACTCCTCATGTGAAACTGATTAATAAACAACACAATTTGATGGTATTGTGTTCTATTTATTGACCTTTGAATAGTCAATAAATAGAACTCCTTGAGAATTCCCTTTTTTTTTACTTACCGGTATCTTGTTTTTTTTTTATGTAGAATATTCTCTATTTCTCCAACATCAAATTTTTCATTTACATCTCCCTTCTATTAATACACATTATTAAAAGAGGCTACAGAAAGTCGTAATTCAGTATCAATACTTTATAATTGGTGCAAACGGTAACATTTATATGTCCGCTTCTATTATGGAAACTAAAAATAATTAAAAGAGTTGTAGTTAAAGCTGCTCTAAGGATTTCCCTTTCTGAAATATTTTATGTATGAAGCAGTTTATGAACATAGTTGTAAAAAATTCCACTGTTAATCCCAGGTTATTTTAAAAACATTGTGTTTTTTTTAACAGTTTAAGTTTAAGGCTTTAAGGACCTAAAAGCAGGAGGTTTGTTGTGGCTCTATGTGTTTGCAGGACATGTAGCGTTTAAATATTCTAGGGGTGCTGTGGAACCATGTTACAATTCTCAGAGAAACTATACAGAAATATGTTGGGTCTGTGGCTCCATACTGACAAAGTTGGCTTCTCTCCACATACCCTCACCTCTCTTTTGTCATGGCTCACGGTAAAATTGGTTTGCAGTTCATGGTACCTGTCATGCCCTCTTTAAACGAAGTTTAAATACTAAAATGTTCCCTTAGTGTAATTTTGAGTATCTTAGGATATCAAACCGTCAAAAAAATTACTAAGAGCAGATTTTCAGTATTGCCTTACAGTACATTTCCTTCTTGTGGCTAATAATGTATATAATATGTAATGTCTGAATGTAATTGCTGCTTTGTAGAGAATGATCAGTGTGTTTCTGTGTGTGTTGGATGTCTATGCAGGAAGTGCAGAGCCTGCTGCAGCCAGATGAAAGGACTCTGGCTGCAGCTGCGATTAGGTTTGGCAGCCCTGACATCACCAGAGCCTTGGATGTAAAGGAGTACCACTGCCAGCTGGCACAGAGCCTCCAGGTACAAAACATAAGTAACATAAGACACAAAACACACCATGTTTAAAATTCACTGTTCTCTGTCATTGGCTTTAAACCTAAAAATATTTCAAGCTAAAACTGTACTTTTTTTTTCTTTCCAAAGCCTGAAAATTATTTCTATACTAAGATCTGTACATTTCTGAACCTTTGATGATGAGTCTTGTTTAAGAAAAAAATGCTACAGCACAGATTATTATAAAACTGAAGGTTCTTCAGACAGCTGCTCCTCATCCCCTTGGCCGATCACCTCCTCTTCCTCCCCCCTCTGTAACGGCCTGCTCGGGTCTCCACATAAATCTCAGCTTTCACAAATCACGTCGCAACACCCCTACTTGTTTTCTTTACCTCTTAACACAACAGAGGAGGAAAACCTGAGAATCAGGACTGAAGTCCTGGACCTGGACAGAATGCCTTTGGTCCACCTCTGTATGTTCGGAGGTACTGCATCGGGGTCAGAATAGAACTCCGGTGGGTCTGACCCCATCTGGGGTGAGGATGTCTGCTGGTTCAGAGGTCAGGGCTGTAATCAGACTGCAGGCCGCCTTCCCAGGCTCCCTCTCTGCTTTAGAGTGTATGCTTTAAGAGGCATTAGAAAAGAATATCTGGCCCATTTATATTTGAATTATCTGTGTGTCTGAGTGGATGGGATTGTGTTCTGGTTTTTCTGCTTAAATCCCATCTATTTACTCTCTCCCTCCCACTCAGCGTCTTCCTCTGCCAGCTGGACAGCGTCCTGTCTGCGCCTGGCCTCGATTACGAGACACAATTGTCTTGATGTTAAAATGATTGCTGTTGGATTTAAACAGGAATGGTGATTGTTGGCTGTCTCCCATACACCTGTGCACTCGCCCCTCATGCTGCTTGTTTCAGCTGCATGCTTTCCTCCAAAGTAATTACAAATCAGGTGCATGAAGGGAGAGCTTTACCAATCCAACATTCTAAATAGTCTTTTTACTCCGTCTGTCAAACTGAACTTATTTGGCTCAAAGAGAGGCTCCTCTCGTCCGATCTCTCTGTTTTCCAACTTTGCAAACTTGTAGACAACTGCACTGTCTGCTAATCGTTTGTTTCTTCAGCTGGGGTTCAGAGCATCCTCCTCTGGTAAAGATGATGGACAGTCGCTGGAAGCGGGAGGAACAGATTGGCCAGTGGTCAAAGATACAACAGACATAACTGATGTGGATGAGATTAAGACTTTGGTGAGTGTGCTTCCTTCTCTTTTTAACTTCATTACAAATGAGAGTTATCAAAATAAAAATAAAACATGTAGCCATTCAAAGTGGTTTTGAAAGAGGCTGTGTCAGGCTTAAAAAAAATCATGTTTTTATGCAAGTCCTGGATGAATTTATGAACAAAAAATATTTGCTTTACAATAACAGAGAGTGAGTGTAATTAGGTTGGACTTATTAAAAGGAAAACGCTCCCAACCAACGAGTTACTGGTTAGACTCCAACAGGCTAAAGACCAGCTGATTTCGTGGAACATCTCTGTCAACAAAAGGTTCAAGCGTTCTGAGTTTACCTGTAGATTTTCTTGTGAAAACAAAGATTCATCTCTGCTCTCTTAATATGCAGGTTCCACATGCAGATGAAAACATTGGGAAATCCAGGATTTGTTTAAAAGCAAGGCACCCCTAAAATAACTAATTAACACGTTACCTGATACCAGGTTGGAGAGAGACAGATTTTTCCCATTTTCCCATTTTATGTTTAGCTCAAATGACAGACTTCTCCAGGTAGGACTATATTTTCTAAGAGCACTTAGAATCCTGTGTTTTAATGAAATCGAATTTCACCAACAGCTTCATGCTTCTTTGCATCAAAGCCTGAATATTTAGTAAGTAAAGTTTATTCATGAAAGGCTATTTGCAGATAAAGATCACAAAGTGCTGGATAAGACAATAAATGTGCCAATAAAAAAAAATTAATTTAATTACAGTTTAAAGGTTTTCACAGCGTTAGCCACACAGAAAGACAGGGGCAGAACATATCCAGTTGATATTTAATTATAAAGACACCTCCAGAACCAGTCTGAGGATAAGCATGTGCCTGGAGGTGGATTGGATGGAAGAGAGTTGCAGAAAAACTCACAAACACTGAGGCAAGACCTGCATGTAAAGATAATATAGAAAGGGTCCATCTGATAAAATCCAGCTTCCCATGATGCTCAGCCACAGTAGAGAGACGGTAACCGCAGCTGTTGTTTTGAATGTTTTTTAAATTGTTCAAAACACCGAACTGATCTCACATGAGTCAGTGGATCATTCCAGTATTTTAAGGCAGTATTACTTTTTTATCCTTGGTCTAGAAACTTTTAAACATATCCTGGAAGTTTTGTTACCATCCCACTTAGCTTCAGTAAGTTAATGAATAGTTGTGTTTTGAAGAACTAATTGGTAACAAAATGGACAACGTTTTACAATACATCTAGCATAAGGAGAGAAAGTGTATTTTTTAAAACATTTTTGTCACGATTAAGTCCTTACATTGGACCATAACCTTAATTGAAGGAAACCTGTTTTAAGATTTTAAACCTAAAATCTGAATCTAAAAACACTGTCACACCTTGAAAATTTAGACAGCGTATGCCTGACGTATGAATAAATCTGGCTAAAATGTTGCCATACGTTGGATGTGTTATGGGTACATTTTGTATAAGTTATGAGCACGCTGATGTATGCTGAAACACGCGGACACACGTCAGCATTGGCAAGCACGTTGAGAAATTTCGAAGATGCTCCAAATTTCCCGCCCTATGCCATGCTTTGGCCATAATTTACAGATAAGTTATCTGATTGTTGATGTACATTAAGTGTAAGTTGCTCATAAGTCGTGGCATCAATCTTATCCATAAACTATGAGAAACTTGTACATAACTTATGCGTAACTTATCAAGAACTTTTCTCCAACGTATATCAACGTATTTGACGTGTTCCAGGACCACCGCTGAATATGTTTCTTACTTACAGCTACTGTTTAATAGCATATTGGCAGCGTTTTTGGTATAAAAGGGGGCTCAGAGAAGAAAACTGTCAATTCTCCAGACTTCATCCCCATTGTAGAGGCAAGGATGCATTTTTTGTCTTGTCACTAGGGGTAGGGTGCATGTGTTAGAGGTATGTATAGATGTGGGTGGAGCTGAAAGTGGGTGTTGGGATGTGTCTTTAGCTAAATGATTATCTAATGAATATCACCTGGATCTGTCCAGGGTTGTGTTTGTTTGTTTGACACAGAGAGAGGCTAAGGCAGGGTGCCAATATTTTGATCGCAAGTTTAAAGCCAGTTAAGGCTGCAAGTCTATAGCACATTGCAACTCAGGAAAAGGGTATAATAAACCCTAACTGCAGTAAAGCTTTATGTGTCCTCCTTGGCTTCAACAAGTTGAACAGACCCCTGCTCTCTTCTCTGTGACTAATTTTTGGATGATAGTCACTTACAACCATCATAGGGTGAGCGAGAAGGTGAGTGTGAGGGATCCTCTCTGCGTTCACGCACCAACGGCCACAACCATCAAACTTCCTAGCAGACATGATGCTGAATCTGCTGCGACTGCAAACCTTCTTTCCTTCTTTTTATTTATTTTTATTTTTTTGGTGGGCAGTAAACAGCAGCTAGGTTAATACTTTAATGAAATAAATCTTTTTATGCAGGCCGGGCACCTCTGGACCCATTGCTGCCCCCCTCAGGACACAGGCTTATGCATCATGGGCAAACGCTGCCGTGCGTTATGCATAAGTTAGGCTATCTTTGGACATATGCTCTGGATTCTTTATTAATATGCTAAGTTCAGCCCATGCCAGCGTTTTAGGACCAATGACACTCTAGTAGACATCCTGGACTCTTAGATTTTCAATAGAATAATTTCAGTTTAAGTAATGTTTATGTTTGAGGTAATGATTTAACTGTTCTCTTGTAAAATAAGCTATTGGCTAATGGAAGATCTAATGACAAAAAGTCTCCTAGATTTTCAAGTCAGTTGAAGATTTCCAAGCATAGTTGACAAAAACACAAGATAAAAGAAACAAGTTTGCTGGTCAAAGGTAATGGAGGGTTTGGTCTAATAGCAACAAAGCCTTTTAGAGCTCAGACTTCTACCGTTGGTTTCCACTCACTCTAGAGAAATCAGAGAAGTTTAAAAAAGCATGTTTTTTACTTCAAGGTTGGTCATTTTTCAAGAGCTTTGGCAGTTTTATCACCAGGAAGTTGCTGATAAGACATATTTTGTAAGCTAACAGCCAGCACTGCTAGAAAGAAAACCTTAATATTTAACTCTTTTAAATTATCTTTTGTGTTACAACAAAATGGTCCAGATCATTTCATAATAAATAATGTGCTTCTTTAGCAACACAGAAACAGATCATGTTTAAAATCCACAACTGGCTTCATGTCATCCATCGACTAGAGAAGAATGGTTTCCAACCGCAGATGAAGGAGCAAAGAGAAGTGACAGGGGAGCAGCAGTGTGGGAGATCCTGCTGAGCAGTGTGTTTACTTTGAGGACGATTTCTGCAGGAGAGGTGAAGAGCCTGTCTGCAGCTCAGACAGGATTTATCTCCCTCAGTGGCCTCGGTTATTAAGCACAGGCTTTCAGATTGGCTTCAGAGTCATAAAAGTCTTAAAAGTTTATACACACACTGCCTCAAGACATATGTTCCAATTTGAAAAGTGGAAATAAATCTAAATCAAACATTATGTCCCACATTCTGAGAGAAAATATCCCCGAAAGAAAACCCTTTATAACATTACTGAAAGATAATGAGACTCAGGTGAAGTGAGCAGATGGGACTAGAAACCTCCTCCTTCGCAGTCTGCCTTGCTCTCTTTAACATCCATCAGCGGTCTCACCACAGCTGGCACCTGACCACATCTGTAACAAACATGGTGGTTTGGTTCTCATTACCGAAGCTGTGGCTCCACTTCCAGCTCTCTAAATAAACACAGAGCCTCTGAAACCACAGCACGGCCCCTCCGACATCATCTACTTCTCTCCAACACGAGCCCCGCTCAGGTCAGCGCCACCTGACGGATGGACAGCTCGGCTCGATCTGCTCTGTTTCCCCTCTCGCCTCTGATGGATTCTCAGGGTCTGGTTTCTCACTGAGACACAACATGACCAAACAAACACATTGCAGTGAAATCAGCCTTGACTCAGGGCTGTATATAATAGAACAGGCTGTGATGGCGTCCAATGCCACTACTTGCATATACATACATGACTCCACTCCACTTATCATGCCAAAGGGAAAGGAAGGAGAGAACTTATACTGGCTTGGAAGTCATCAGGATTGCAGGAGTGGGAAACAGGTTGTCTTCTGCTTGGAGGTTTCTCTGAAATGTGAGCCTGATCTCATCTAGGTACGACTGATAATTGTTGAACTTCTACGATTGCTGCAGTTACTCATGGCAGGACAACACCGATACTGACAATGAGGGAGGGATGCTCCTAAAAAAATTACCATACCTATTTCTGTTAGCTGCCTTTATTCGTGATTGCACAAACTGTGTTACAATAATATAGGTTACTCTGTTCAATGCTTTGCAAAAGCTTTTACTATGCACCCAGGAACCAGACCTATTGTTTAAAGCTTCAAGTTCTCAGACTCTCTTGTCTGTTAACTCACTTTACCAAATATAGCTATGTTCTGTCCAGAGTTTTGCCACCTGGGAGAAAATCGTCAAATTAAAGGAGTCATAGCCTGCTATCTGACAAAAACAATCTGTCTGAATTGTCTTTAAATTCATTTTTAATAATGTTTAGAAGAAAAAAAGGTTACATAGGGATCATTAGGACTCCTTTTAATGCTTTTTCTTGAGGGTACGCACTTGAATTTGACTTGTGTGTTTGCAAGTTTAAGTGGATGAAATGTTAGAAACATAAGCAGTTTGCCATGGTTCGTTTACCATTGTTTCCCGCTCTCCTACCTAACTGGTCAAAAAGCTGTACAAGCAGCAACACTTACTAAAGATGAATAATGAACAACGTTAATCAAGAAAGATGACCAAAATCACATTTTGTGGAGAGTAGTCCATGTGGCCTTTCCTGGTTTGAACAAGGAGCCTATGTATATAAAATATGCCACCTTCACACTCAGGGTTGTCAGGTAGAAATTATTGGTATTGGTAACACCAATACACAAATTGTAACACTAAAAAGGCAGAAAAGGGATCTGAAAATCAAAGATCCAGAAGATATTAAAACCTATCAAGACAAAACCCTTTTTCTCATAATGGGTTATTTTGTTAAGCCAAAGAAATATTGGTGTATTCTCAGCAACAATAATTGCTCACTCTTCAAAAAGATGAGCATGCAAACTCCATGTAAAAAGATCCTGGGCTGGGAATTGTACCGGAACCTTCTTTCTGCAAGGCAGCAGTGCTACCCACTACGACACTGAGCAGCCCCAGAAAAACATGGTTTGACAGGTAGACTGACGCCTCAGTAGTCCAGAGCCGATGCATCTAAAAGTCTGTCGCCTAGTTTCCCTGATTGTTATTAAGGTCGGAACTTCCCGCACTGTTTGCAAGATCTGTTGTCAATGACGTTCACATTAAATGGGTCCAATCTAGCAAACAATCGACCAGCATCCTGCTCAACTCAGACACCAAAGGCAACTCCATGCAAGTAAAAAAAAGTAAAAAAACAAGCATGTGTCAAGTACAAGCACGAGACACAAGAATGAGCAGAAGAGTGCTGCAGTTCTGTGTTTTGGTCACAGGTGGCAGTATCATTAAAAAGCTTTGTACTGCTTCTTAAAGTCTGCTTATCAGTAACAGTTGAAACGATCTTTCTATCAGACTATTTTAACACTTTGAGGTTATATTTATTTTACAACCATGTTGTTCTGTATTCTCTTGTTATCTTTCATTGTGTGGATGACAGTGAAATCTTTCTTGCTATGCAAAACAGGGCAGTTTTTAAAACAGCCTGAACAAAAGTAGGTCTTTCTCTTAATATTTCCTTCTGCTTCTCTTCTAAATTTTACAATTTTACCTTCCAAGTCCAAATTAGTCCACAAAGACTAGTTGTCCCATTAACAGATTCCTTTCAGGTTGTTTTAAATAGTGCCTTAAAAAGTGGAGTGTTATTAATGGAGATGTAGCACTCCTTTAAATTATTAGCTGGGAAATATTCATCTGAAAATATATTTAAAAAACAAAAATAATGAACTATATATTAAATTCACTTTAAAGAAAGCTGTTTCTAATTAAAATATGTAACATTAGAATGTACTTCAGCTCTTATATAAAGTATTATAATAGGTTTCCAGTGGTGGTTTTTAACTAACCGACCCCTTGTAACTCATTACTGTAGTTTTATGATTTGCAAATTGATCCCTCCTCTTTCTTGTTTGCAGCCTCCATTGACATTAAAGTTTTACAGTTATGCTGACCATCGCAATTCATCCAATTATTGCGGAAATATTTCAACCACAAATGTGAACTTTGTGGTAGCGCTGTACGAATGATCAGGGGGATTGCCAAAATCAGTGAGAGTCCTCATCTGGAAACAATGAATGTCTGCATGAATTTTGATGGCAATCCATTAGGTATACATCCAGATATTTCCATCTGGATCACATTGGTGACGCATTGTACTGACATGGTTGAAGGCCTTGTTAAACAGCTCTAATAGGGCTAAATCAGAGCTACACGACAAGAAACTTTGGGATTTGTGGTCATCAAGTGGTCAAAAATATAACTTTGTACTAAATGGAAGGATTTATAAACACCCAATACATTTAAAGAAAATTACATTTAAGGAGGTTAAATATGTATAAGCTAAAGGTTTTATTATTTCATTATTAAAAGTCCACCTAGTGTATGCTTAAGGTCTGAACATAAAGTTAGTCTGCTTAAATAAACAGCTGGTGCTGCATATATTTCTGCAGATTTCAGAGCTAAAGAAGGAGCTAGATGATCTTGAGAAGAGAAAGGAGGACCTGCTGGATGAAGTTGAGGTGAAGAAGGCAACTTACACAGAAGAGACGGCAGAGTTAGAGGTATATGAGAGAGAGGATTGATGCAGTCTTTATCAGTTTGTATGGATTTTCTGTTATCTTTGTTTTTTTCTATTATACACTAATCTTTGCCCATATTTCAGTTTGCTATAACAGAAATGAAGCAGCAGGAGGCTGACTTAAAATCCCAGATAAAAGAGCAGTGTGAGGAATACAAGGAGCTGCTCACTGAGAAAATGGCAAGAGACATGGAGATCGCAGCCTACAGGTATGAAAATCAGATGTCCACTGCTGTGGGCAGAGAATTAAACCAGAGCTAAAAATATTTATGTGGGCAGCAAGCACTTTATTATTGAGAATTAACAGTAGTAATAAACTTTTAGACAACTTTCAATTAAATAAAAAATCTTTTTATAAAAGTATCAGCAGTTATCTCTATAAAGCTAAATATATGGTTTATTCTTTTTGTTATAACTCTAAAAACTGGGAAGCCTCAACCATCAGTGTGTTTGGATGTTTCTTCATCCACTCGTGGACTTTGAGAGAGTAAATCTGCAGCGCTAATAAAAGATGACTAGGGGGGCTCTTAAAAGAATTTATTTTCAAGCTGAACAGGTTTACAAATAAACCAGCTATAACTTCTGCTGTTTGATGTTCGCGTTGACATGTTCATTTAAAACAACTGCAATGTTGAGCTCAGAAGAGTACAGAGGTGCGAAAAGATAACCCCACCCATCGGTTTAACCATTTCTCTCATCCAGTATTCAAAGCCTCTAAGAGCAGATGTGACTGAGCCCATCTGATGTTTTGGAGCATTTTAATCCACAGTTTAGGAGCTACAACCAATTATGTTTCATCAGATTTGGGACTGCCAAAAAACAAGTCTTTATTGGATATCAGGTACCAGGAGGGCCCATAAGGCTTTAGGACTTCAGACACACAATAAGGAGCCTGTTCTAATAGTGCCTTATAAGTCAGCAATAAAACTTAAAATGAAATAAAATCAAAAGGGAGTTCATTAAAAAATTTGTATTTTGGAAACATGTTCCCACCTTTTAGTACAGATCAGAAACCAAGCTGCATCATACTAGATCAACTCCAGTCATGCAAAGACAGCCTGACTAACACTGCACTGCTGTAAATAAGCATAAGGTTAAACTGATCAAAGATTTTAAAAGAGAAAAATGGTTTCAGCTTGGATAAAAGTCCCATTTAGTAAAAGCACTGCTTTAAGGCTAAAACCTGATCAAAAGAAATGTAAGGTGCATTCTAAAAAAAGTTTACAGCAGGAGTCTGCAATCTTTAAAATCTATAGTGCCATTTCTAACCTGAATGCAGCTAAAAAAAAGAGCTGCAGATATACATGATGTTTTGATTAAAATAATGTGTTTCCAACTAGAACGTTATTCTCTGCCTGAGACCTACAAGTTTATTTTGGGTAATGATTTTCTGGATGTTTTTCTGTGGAAAATTATGTCAAATAAAACACATAGATTGCAAGCTAATGATGAAAAATAGACCTTTAAACACAATATTGGTTCTTTTTATTGTCATCCTGTTGTGAAAAATAAATTTTCATTTTGTTTGAAAAACTACTTGAGCTTCTAAAACTGCCATTTGCTATTTTACTGTACTCAAAACCAACACTTGATATGAACAAATGATATAACACTTATCATTTTAGCCATGATTAAGAGCCATTGCAGGAGGACCAAATAGCCGCAAGTTGCAGACCGCTGGTCTAAAGGATACCCCAAGATGAAAAGCACTTTGATTATTTGTTGGAAAAACACAATCACTTTAGTTTTCTTCTGGTTAGGTTGTAGAAGCCTTAAAGGAGAAGTTCGGTTTTTTACACTTTAAGCCCATTTTCTGTAGTGTCCAGGATGAAATCGAATGATCGACACCAAAAGTTTGACGATTGGTCCTGTCTCTGCTTTTTGGCTCATTTAGAATCACCCCCTGGCTGCTTTAGAATGGCTAGCATAGAGCATGTCCGATAATGTCCTTAAAACAACCTTAAACGTTCTTTTTTTAAAATATGCTACTCACCGTGTCGTCAGCGCTGTTCAATGACGTTCCAAAAAAAGTTTCGTAAAGAAAAAACGTTCCTGTAGTGTTTTATTTAGCATTTTGTAAATCCCATTGAGTTCTGTAGGAATAGTCAATATTCCCCTGCCACCGGAAACGGGGCCTGTTTACACAGTTGTAGTCTTTTCGCTTCACTCTGTGTACTCCGACGTCGAGGTGCTAACGTCTCTGTTAAACACTTTAAAAAACTCTGAAAATGGAATACGAAAGGTGGATTCTTGATTCTCGACGTCGGAGTACACAGAGTGAAGCGAAAAGACTACAACTGTGTAAACAGGCTCCATTTCCGTTTCCGGTGGCAGCGGAATATTGACTATTCCTACAGAACTCAATGGGATTTACAAAATGCTAAATAAAACACTACAGGAACGTTTTTTCTTCACGAAACTTTTTTTGGAACGTCATTGAACAGCGCTGACGACACGGTGAGTAGCATATTTAAAAAAAAGAACGTTTAAGGTTGTTTTAAGGACATTATCGGACATGCTCTATGCTAGCCATTCTAAAGCAGCCAGGGGGTGATTCTAAATGAGCCAAAAAGCAGAGACAGGACCAATCGTCAAACTTTTGGTGTCGATCATTCGATTTCATCCTGGACACTACAGAAAATGGGCTTAAAGTGTAAAAAACCGAACTTCTCCTTTAATATCTATAGCAAAATTTTTGAATCAAATTATTTGAAATACTTAAATAATTACTTAAAATAATTTAAATAATAACTGAAAATATTTAATGCACACTGTAAATAAATGTAAATAGATCGACTAGTATCAGTTTTTTTCTGATTGATTGTGAGCAAAAGTTCAATTTCCCTTCTCAGATCAATCAGCTTTCTTGTCTTAGCAGAACATTGCAAAAGTCTGATACATACTGATTCTAAATTATAAATGCATAAACTCTCCCTCAACTCTCAGAATGAAGCTGTGGACCAACATTTCTAGAACACAGTAATATTTTATCGCACTCATTGTGTCGTTGCCACAAGGGTTTATAGAGAGACTTCAGAAGATTCTGGGAACGTGAGCTTTGTTGTTAGTATGACTGTCAGTCAAGATGAAGGCATAGTAGATATTTTATTTAAAGAAAAAACACTGCACAAAGTGATTGCACTGATAAGTTTGTCAACTTCTTAAATGTTCTCATCAAGTCTGCTTGCAGTTATAACCCAGAGTTTTTAGCTGTATCTGACATTTTTTGAAAATATGTCTCTCCATGGCAGAAGGTCAGATGAACCAGATGGTGCACCACCGTGTTTGCCTTTAGGAAGTGTCTATTGGTGGGTTTAAAGGACAGAGCATGGTGGTCCTGGGATGTTTATGTTAGATTTGGATCTACTGGATTCCCATTTTGACTTCTTTTTGTTCAAATATTAACTGATATCTAGTCCTTAATCAGAGCAAAAATGTGCATTCATTGTGCCTTGCAAAGGAATTCCCACCCTGCGAACATTTACACATTTTCCCGCATTGTAATAACAAACATTGTATTTTTAGGGTATAAATAGTTAAATGGAAATGATTGTTTTATTGCTAAACACTTTGATCAAAGTCTCAGAAGCAGAAAAACCTAGTAGTCACAAACTATCCTGCGGGATTGTAACAAGTTTGACTTTAGTTTAAAAAAAGCAACAGAAGCTGGGAGAAGCAGACTGGTTCAAACTGTGTTCAACGTGTAAAGACTTGATCAAACCATTAGGTAAAAAAGACCAAAAACAGAACTATAGACACTCCAACGAGGACTCAGCTGTCAGCAGAACTGCAGTTTTTTTTTGTCAGCTAGTAAATGTTAGGACATGTTTTATACATTGGTTTCCAGTAGCCATGTGGATTTTGACCTTGTTGTTTGGATGTTTTCATCCAAACCACTAATGAGATGTGGATCAGGTGATATAAAAAAAGATGGCTGCCCTCCTTTTACTAGCAGCCATTTGCTTTCAGCTTTTCTGTGCCACTTAAACTAAATGTTTCTCTACAGCATCAAGCTGCCACCCGCATGTTTCATTGTGTAAATGTTGTGATCATGTTGTTATTTTGATTTGATTCAGGAATCATCTGATTATAGCTCAATCTTCTCCATGTTTCTAGCATCTTCATGGTTTTTGTGCAATTGTAAATTTGACTTTTCTTTTACCAGCATTTAATTATTAACTCTTTTATTAAAAACAACATTTGTAGAGCCTGAAAACTCAGAGCTGAAGCTTGCGGTTACAACATACCGTAGATTTGAACGGGCATCACATCAAAATGTTTCTGTAGATCAATACATTCATTTTATTAGATCTTCATTCATACAGTAAGAAGCAAAACATATAAGACTTTTTCTCTGTTCCCTATACTCCTGCAAAAACCCCAGCAGGGAAAAATGTGCAGGTTATTTCATGGTCTATCTCACATAGTTTCAGCTGGAAATCCGCAGTTTTCTTTTAAAGATGTTCCTGAAGGCAGGGTTGACATCCGTGTCCGCCTGGGTCACCAGGAAACAGCTCGTGGATGTGATGCAGCTTCCTGCATATGACCTTGGAGCTTTCTTGTCATTTCCCTCGGTTCACTGAGGTGGTTCACCCATCTGCCATCCTGCTATGTGAAGTGACGCACTTCTGCCATTCCATCTCACTGCCACAGACGTCCTCTGCTGCCTGTTTCGCCGCCTCTGACCCACAGGGGGCCCCGTTTCAAACCAGAGCAGAGAGACACATGAGAATAAGCTTTAAAAGACCTTTTACTGTCTGCTCCTCCGTCTAATGTCAGCTCACCCCCTTTAGACACATTTTCTAATTCACCACAGTTTTAGCTTCCTCAAACCCAGTAACAAAAAGCTTCAGAGGCCTCCCACCCAAATATGCTCCAGCATATTACTGGGTGGCTTATGGCCCGTGAAAGCATTTCAGATCAGTTCTGACAGATGTTCTGTGCATAACTTTGCTGCAAATGTGAGCAACATGATGGTGTAACTCATTCTGCAGTTGTTGTTCTTTTGCTGCGTGACACAGCCATCCTTCCTGATTTATGCGACGCTCCTCTTTCAGAGCACAGGTTTACATTTCAGAACCTAATGATAAAACATCTGGGTTTACTTGTCAATCAGTTTTTAACCCCGTCTAAAATGGTACACAAATACAACCTATGGTGTTTGTGTGTGTGTATATATATATATATATATATATATATGGGTATATATATATATATATATATATGGGTATATATAGGGTGTCATGTATATAATATATATATATTTACATGACACCCAAAATGTTCTTGCATATGGTTTATAAGTGTGCCACTTCTTACCAAAGATTTAAAAAACTATTTTCTGTTTTCATACTGAAAAAAAAATTTTGTTTTCTGCTCAAACAAACCTCTGATTTGACTCATTTTTTAAGATCTGCACCCACGGTCTGTAAGTAAGCCACTTTATTTACAGGAACTGTTTTGTTTTGCTGCTATTCAGGAGTCTGATGGAGGAAGAGGAGGGGAGACTGTGCAGCCTGTGACTTGGAATGATCCAATGGATTATTTGGTGGATTCTCCCCTGACATGCATTTAAAAACAGACCCCAAAACATGAAATACAGACCGAAAAAGAGCACTTTGATGAAGCTTATGACACCAACGTTCCAGTTTTAGCTGCTGTATGCTTATCGTGACAGATTAATGCTGTCTGGAGGCCTGAGCCATGCCGCTGATAACAGGTCACATGTAGATGACCTGGAGACTCCCAGGAAAGATGGAGCTGTCTAAAACTTGTGGGAGGCTCAGACATTCAATGTCTGGCACTGATATTTCCCTAAGTGGTTTTTATCTTCTCCAGCTCGCTGATTCATAAAAGTTTTGTCCCCTCTTTGTAAAACAAGATCCCCTCCTGAATGCAGAATCGCACCAAGCTCGGCTTTACAGGGCCTCTGATCCCACCTCGTCCGTCACTCCAACTCCGACTGATTACCACCTCTTAACCTTTGTCCCCATCGCCGTAATCAAACACACTGACAGCCTCCTCCTCAGTCAACATAAAGCATCCCACCTTGCTTTTGTTTTTACAGCTATGTGTTCATGCTGCTTTTGAGTCAACTGTGCAGCGTGCTGTGTTTTCTTAGCAAATGGCTCGTGAAGTTGTTTTTGTGTGCAACCTAAATGAGCACCTGGATTTTTCTACAGAAAAAAAACTTTGAGTGATTCATAGTTTCCCCTTTTTGAAAAGCAGTGTCCCAATTTGGTGTCATTTCACCAAAAAGTCTTTGGTAATGCATTCCTCACTAATCTTTTCCTTATTGTCAACATTGCATCAAAGCTGCCTGTTATCAATCATTCCTTTTTTTTTGAGTGGGGGTGGGGGTTGAGGGGGGTTATGGTCACGTCTCCGACAAGCATTAAAATGTACTTGAGCTTTAGATTGAATAAAACTAGTTGCTTGAAAAATCACCCTGCACTGTGTGACTTCTTCCATAACAGCCATCGGTTTCATGAGAACTGCTGGTACTATAAGGCCTTCAGCGAGCTGTAGAGCAGAGGAGAGCAGCATGATTTATGTGGGACACTCCGGCTTTCATTGATCTTCATCTTCTTTGTGGGATTTTAACATTTCCAGCTGTTAAAGTTCTCAAAGGCTTGTTAGCTCTGGCGCAAAGCTGAAAAATGCAGCTAATAACAGATCAGATTGGATTAGAGACGGTATTTGAACTTGTGATGAAGAGGACCTCGCATGTGGCTAAGATCGGTCCCTGATGATCTGCAGTTACTTGTTTAATTGGAAACTGTGGCTCAATAGAAAATGATATCTTTTTGCTTGAAAAGTCCAATTTAGTCAATTGGACAGGAAATTTTCTAAAAGACGTTTTGCATTCTGAAAGATGTCTGCACAATTCAAGGTTCTTCATGTCAATGTGGCTCTGGATAAGGCAACTTAGATTTAAATTGCATGTTGATGTGAATTAATAGGTAAATGGAGCTTCAATGAATAACTATATAAATTCAGATCATTTACTACTGTAGATTATCCCAGAGTGAAGATATTCTGCCTTATAAAAAGGGATTTCAAAACAGAGTATTATGGGCTTTATAGCCCATATTACTCTATGCAGATGGCGCTGTTGCTAAAAGTGCTCTTAGTTGGTCAAAGTGCCTGTGTTGTAAACAGGAGATCCTTGGTTAAAATCCCAGCAGTTCATTTAGTGGGGATGTGACGGCCTTGTGGTTAGGGCATAGAGCTTGGAGTCCTGAGGTTCTGAGGTCCCCACTCCCACAGCCTGCCACTCTGGGTCTCTGAGCAAGACCCTTAACCGCACACTGCTCCCCAGGCGCCCCATGATGGCAGCCCACTGCTACCCAAATGAGATGGGTTGAATGCAGAGGTAAATTTCTCCAATAATAATAATAATAATCATTATTATTATTATAGACCAGAGAGGAGTAGATGCACCAGTTGAACTGTCCATTAACTGTAAGGGACAGAGAAGACTATTCTTCTTCATTAAGTTTAGGTCCTTCAGTGTTTGCCGGAATAGAATTCAGATCTTAAAAGCCTTTTGTGGAGATTGTGATCTCTGCTGTCATCAGTTTGGTCAGTAGTAGATGCATACATGTTTGAACTTCCTCCTCAACTTCTCAGGTGTCTTCTAGAGCTCATAAAATGCATTCAAAACTACTCAGGATCTTCCACTTTAATAAATAGCACTATCCTGATGCGTATTCTCAATTCATTATTTAGTTTTCGAAATATCAAATAGGAAATATAGGAAGAGATAATACAAGATTTATCTTCCCTCTGTTCCTTTTTGTTCATTAATGAAAAAAGAAGAATGTGCAATGACATGACATGAACAAATAAAAAAGATAATCAAGCAAAATGTATTTTTTTCATTTCAGTTTGAAACTAATCCAAAGCAAAATAACAACAAAACCCTTTGCTTTCAAACCAAATGTGTTCATATGTCAAAGGAAGGCAGCCAATAATCACGTCCAGCCAAAGCGGTCATTTACAGGAGCCCTCAAGTCTATAAACATTTCCATTTTCAAACAATGTTTTGCAGTAATTCTTTGATTATGTAGACACTTGGGACAATGGGAGGGGGTACCCTGGGCCAGGAATGTGTAATCATTTCCATAGCAACCATAAAGCAGATTTGGAGCATTGGAGTAAAATAACTTTATTTTTACCCAGGTTACCCAATGACAATTCCAAGATGTAATGTTTTGGATCGAGAAGAAAATCAAGTTTTAACAATTATTTTATCTTGAATTCCTTGCCAATAGAATTTTAAAAGTAGAAAGTCCCAGAAAATATGCAGATTGTCACATCTTGTCTGCAGCTCCACTAACATAAATCAGCTTTACTTTTCTCACTTCTAAATATACAGAGATGGTTTAACAATCAATGAGAGGACATTTTTGTCACAAATTTCTGAGTTGATGATTTTACTGTTATCCTATCTGAATTGACCAAGAATATTCTAGTTTTAATATTGTGCTTTTTATTTTATGTCTTTAAGTATAGAAAATATCCATTGTTGAATTGTAAAAAGCAAAGTTATTCTAGAAATTTCAGATTTTTCTCTGTCAAACATAACTCCTCCTTGTCCAAATGTGTTTGCTGTAATCATTCATTTTGCTTCTTTTATCCACCTAGAGTTCTTTTCTTTGTCCCAGTAATAAATAGGAGGTTGTTTGCCTACTTAAAATGGTCTAATAATAGCGTTAACCTAAAACCTGACAAGGAATACATAAAATAAAAACATACATGTTTTATTTTCTTGTGTTTTTTTTTCTTTTCCTAGTCCACACACACATGTTAGAATGATCCCATATAGGTTCAAACATATTCATAGCCTTCCAGCTATATGAGGCTAAATGTCCCTCAGCAGCTTTCTTATAGTACTGCTGTGTAAATACTCGTATTAGAGCGGTCCCGTGTCGCCAGCTGCCTTCCTGACCTCGGGTCACTGAATAAGTTTATATTTGAGCCACTCGGGATCAGTAGTTTGCTGAAAGCTTCTGTTATGTGTAAGGGTGAACACCCAGGTGTCTGTCACTCTAACATCACTGGTTTCGGCAAACAAAAAAAAGGGTTTAAATCATGTGATTAGTGTTGGTTGTACCTTATTCTCTGGAAAAGTTAAGGTTCCAAGAGTCATGTGTATTTCAATTTATATGACACAAGTTTACGATTGGTTGGATTGGTTGAAGGCATTTTACAAAAAGCAGAAAAAATGAAATATTTCGGTTACTCCAGTAAAGACTTAGGAAAAAAAACTGTTTAATTACATCCTCCACTAAAATCTTACAAGCCACAAGTCAGTGGGCATCTGATCAAAGAAAAGAGTAAAACATCTAACAATATGTAATTGTGTTAATGCTTTGCTCTAAATGTAATAACACCCCTTAATAAGCCTCAACATTAATTTATGTTATTGACATGCAATCCGATGATATCACAATAACTGCACCTTTAAAGCTTGTTTTTTCCCCCTACAATATGTCGCAATTTCCTCTGTGCTCTTAGGAATTAATCCAACTCTTTTTCTACTCTTACCAGAATGCTATTTTTTTTTTTGCTTGCTACACAAATCCTGTCTGAACCTCTAATAGTTTAATAATCTTACCCAAGAACCCCCCAAACACATGGCACAGCGTAGGATTTTAGGATTAAACTCCCAATTTAAAAATGAAGCCAGAGACTTTCAGCACTGATTAGCGGGACTCACTCACATTTAAAAGGAAGAGACCAGTTAACCTACCATTACTTATATATACACACTTTAACTGAGGTGGGAGATTAAAGATTTATATCTATTCAATTATAAAGAATTTATCCGCAAATCATTCACTAAATTATGGTCCATTACCACCTCACCTGTATTAGATGACATTTTATAGATAGTGGTGGTGGTTTGGACCTGCAGCAAGATTCTTGAAGTCACAAAGCTGTCCTCACTGATCCAATCCTTCCCTTCTTTTATCTTCTGACATGTTTGTTTGCGAAATAAGGAGAAATTCATCAGTAAGGGTTACCATTTAAAATACAATCATTACTGAGGTAATTGTCCAGTTAGTGGCTCTTACCTTACTGCCCCAGTAAATCCACATGGTGACCTTTATTGTCACTGTGGAGTCTTTCCACATCCTGGGAACAATTATCTCACAGGACCTAAAGTGGAAGCTGAACATCAACTCCTTCACCAAGAAAGCCCAGCAGAGGATGTACTTCCTGCAGCAGCTGAAAAAATTCAACCTGCCAAGGACAATGATGGTGCAGTTCTGCTCCGCCATCATTGAGTCCATCCTCACCTCCTCCATCACTATCTGGTATGCTGGTGCCACGGCCAAGGACAAGGGCAGACTGCAGTGGGTCATCCGGTCTGCAGAGAAGGTGATTGGCTGCAGTCTTCCATCTCTCCAGGATCTGTACGCCTCCAGGACTCTGAGGCATGCATGCAGATTGTGGCTGATCCCTCACACCCCATTCACAAACTATTTCAGTCACTTCCCTTTGGCAGGAGGCTGTGGTCCATCAGGACCAAAACATCACGCCACAAGAACAGTTTCTTCCCATTTGCTACCAGCCTTATGAAGGCCCAGAGGCCCT